AACATCCATATTGTCTAAATAAAGACTAACTATACTTTCCTACAGCCTTTGCTAACAAATAGACGCATATATTTAAACATCCATAATTTCTAAATAAAAGGTATAGTGGATAAAACTCATTTTGAGTTCTGGGGCGTAAATCAATCATCATTGTCATTACTTACCTACTTGTATCAATAAACATTCTGCATGAAATTAATATTTACAAGCACTAATATCTACATAAATTGATTGTTTGATAAGTTTTAATTAAAATTATGTATCTTTGATTTCACTGAAGACTCCTAGATGACTTGCAGAGACGCATATTTTTCTCTTTACCCCATAAAACACAAAATCTAGTTCTGAAAAGAGCATGAATTCTGTATTTATCATCTTTGATGTTAGTTTATTGATGTGTATAATCAACCACAAAAAAATAAAATGTTTTGAATATTCCACTTGAGAGTATTACTGCTGCCATCATCTGTATTAGAGAGAAAACAATGGTAGCGGTTGCCAAGGATTGGCTAAGGCCCCCTGGCCCCCCATCTAGCTCCGCCCCTGCATCTGTCTCACTATTTAACTGGCAGTCATTTCATTTCACTACAAATACAGCGGGATATTTGGGCTGGTTTTGATTATTTCTCCTTTTTGATTTTATTTTAACTGTATAAACAAAATAACCTTTTCGGGAAACTATAAAAATATTCTGTAACTCTTATTGAAGGAAAAACTACAAATATTAACTGCTAAGGGAACCAGTTTTTAACAGACCATATTATATAAATGAATTGATAGAAAGTTGAATGGAGGGGGAAAATGTGATGCAAATGTGAATGCACACCATGAACACATTAGGGCTTCAACTCACAATCATTTCTCTTAAAAAAAAAAACAAACAGCAAAAACTTTTAAATATTTTTTCTAATTAAAAGAAAAACCCTCTGAGGGCCCAGACCTCCACCAAGCTGCAAATTTTGCCCCAAATTTTGACTTAAACCTATTGCTCACTGGATCGCTACAACATTTTTTGTTAGTTGTTTTTTGCCATTAGGTACACCTCGGGTAAAAAGAAAATGTCCTTAAAATCTGTTCCTTAGTTTTCAATTAATCCTGCTAACAAACCAACAACACTCCCGTTTCTTGCCTTTTGGTCTTCAGTAAAACACTGATGGTAAATTTGTTAGTAGTCACTGCTGCCACCCTCTGGTTTAGTGGGGAACTGCCTGTTCCACCAAATATCCTTATCCAACATTAGAGAATCTTTCAAATATCCCTGTATCCAGATTATGATCTGGATCATCACTAAAATTGAATGGATTGTTCCTTGGCTTTAGGCGCACCTCTGATAAAAATGTCATTAAACTCTGTCATAACTTTTTGGGTTATTTTGGAAATGGACAAACCAAAGTGGATGTAGAAAAATTATTACCTCCTTGGTGGAGATAATAATTGGATGAAAAAGGTGACTAATTGGAGTTCTTACACGGTTTAAACCAGGTGAAGCTAAAGCTAAGCCATTTGTGGACTTCTAAATTCAGCATTTGTAAAGATGTTTTAAATTGTAAATTCAGTTGTTTTTTGTATAGTTTTATCTTATTTAATGCGAGAGGTTCAGAAAACGGCTTCTTTCAGAGTCTGAACAGTCCACTAACGATTACTTAATTTAATTAGTCGACCATTATTTCAATAACCTATTAATCCCGATCAACTTAAATACTTATTCTACTGCTAATTCTAAGAGTTTCCAAAATAATATTAACTATTACTTTTTTATTTGAAATTCTCTTGGTAACAGAATTATTTGAACTTTGCCCTCATTTTCAGGCCAGTTGGTCGAATGAACAAAAGTAAATAAAGGGTATTTTCTAAAAATGCAAAGTTTTCATATGTATTCTTGAAATTATATGAAATAGCTGGTCGCTGAACTGCTTTAGGCTGAAGGTTTTGGTAGAAATGCTTGAGCTGTAATCCCAGTTATAAGTAGCTTTTTTAATTAGGAAAACAAATTGGAGCCGTTGTCAGATTTTGCTTTTACAAGTTAAGACAATTGGCCAAAGTAAAAACCTTTTCTTTTGAGGCAAAAGTTATCCGTGCTTTTATTCCATCTCTGTTGGATCACTGTAACGGACTCAATGTTGGTGTGTGCCAGTCTTTGCTGTCTCGCCTCCAGCTGGTGCAAAACACTGCTGCTCATCTTTTAACTGGTACTCCAAAAATATGATCATATCGCTCCTGTTCTAGCCTCACTCCACTAGCTGCCTGTGCATTTTAGAGATTTTAAAATACTTATCTGTATTTAAGTGCCTAAATAACCTTGCCCCATCTTACCTCTCTGAGATTCTTTACCCCTACTTTCCTCCTCTGTCCCTCTGGTCAGCAGAACAGCAGCAGCTGCTGCAGGTACTGAGGTTTAAGAGGAAGCCTTCTCTATCGCTGCTCCTCTTTTATTGGTGCCTCCCTCTGCACATTGGGGAGGCTCCTTCACTACCAAATTTTAACACTTGGCTCGGTACCTACTTTTATTCGCTGGCCTTTAAGACTGGCAGGACTTAGTAGTAACCTTGTTTATTTAGCTTAAACAAATTCATATTATTGCCTTATTCTATATCTTTATGATGCATTTTATTGTTTTTTATTATTTTTAGCTATTTTCAGCCCCTTGTTTTCAGCTGTTAGCTCTTTTAAATCGCTCTACAAATAAAGTAGATGATGATAGCTGGATACAATCTAGATAGGCTGTGAATTCTGACAAGGTCCCTGTGCAGTTTCCCTCTCCTTGTATCAAAGACAAAAGATCACAATTTCATCCTGTGTTTATGAAGCTCAATACGGCAAATAATACATGGACTAATGGAGCCTTCTGTGTGTTTGGGAAGAAGCTTGATTGATGTAAAAATGAAATGAAAGAATATTGCAGCACACTGGTTTCTCACTTTGGTGGCTTTTTCTCTTGAAGGACACGGAGTTTCCAGGTGTTGTAGCCAGACCGATCGGAGAGTTCAGGAGCAATGCTGACTATCAGTACCAGTTGCTGCGATGCAATGTGGACCTTCTGAAGATTATACAGCTGGGCCTGACGTTTATGAACGAGCAGGGAGAATATCCTCCAGGAACGTCAACGTGGCAGTTCAATTTTAAGTTCAACCTCACGTAAGATTGCTGCCTCTTTTCTCTGTGTTACTGTTTCTCTGATGTGACGGCGTGCGATGATTGAAACACAAATTTAATTCTGATTGTTAATTATGCACTGAATATGAAGAGTAGCCATCTGTGAGGTTTATTTCAGGAAGAAGAAAAGTTCTGACTCAAATGTGAACAGTTTGCGACTCTAAACTATCCTGCATGTGCTAAAGAACAATAACTATGCTGTCTCTTTGGTCCAGAAAACATGGAAGAAATAGGTGTGAAAGCAAAAGTTTACATACACTTTAAAAAGATACTTTTTGCTCTACACTATTAGACCTGAAATCTGATTAAAACTTAAGATCAAATAAAGTATTTTTATTTTATAAATAAAAGAATAATGAAAATGATTTATGATTTTCTTAAAGATCAGAGGTTTTCATATGTTTTTATTTATATTTGTTACCCTTTCCCTTAAACAGCCCGATTTGGGTCAAACATTTTTGATATCTTTCTGCAAGCTTCTCCCAAAAGTTGGTAGGAACTTTGACCCATTAGAAAAAAGTTCTAACAGACTTAAAATGGTGTTAAAAGTTACATAGATTTCATAACTGACTGGGACTGAGTCGACTGTCCAATAAATAGCATGGCATTTATCCGACTGATCTTTTATTTTGATGGTTTATTAGCGTAGTGGCAGCATAGAGCAGTGGAGCTTAAGCATTAGTTGAAAGGTTTTATTATGCTAGTAAACAATGGATTAAACTAAAAATGAAATAAAGTATTCAAAGTAGGGATGCAATTTAAAAAGTAATTTGATCAATTAATCTGAAGTTAAATGATTTTATTGATAAACTGCAGATTAATTATTTTAGTTTTCTCTTTTCAACAGGATCTTTCCATAACATGAACGGCTAAATATTTCTTTTCAATAAGCAGAGTCAAAGAAATGCATATTAGATTTTATTGTTCCAGCTGTATTAGATGCTGACCTAATATAAATAAAAGTTTTTCTTACACTTTATTAAACTTGAGATATTTAAGCAATGACCAACAAAAGTCTTTAGCATCTGCCGTGCTAATTGCTAACATGTCTTTTCTATCATGATACAAACATTGGCGTGACGCCCTCCTCTTATCTATCATCACATCCTTGTCCTCTGAGTGCACTAAAGAACTTTACGCTGCCCCTCCATGCAGCACGACTTAATGGCCGCTATTTAAGCAATAGCTTTTGTAGTGTTTTATTTAGAAACAGAACCACATAAAGTTCTTGCTGCATATATAACATTGATCCAGATTGGACTCTGGATCGGTGCATGATTTTGCTAAAGCCCTCCTCCGCTCTGGAAATACCTCTCTAGCAAATACCAGTGAGGCTCCACTTTGGCGTCCTCTAGTGGAAGGTAGTAACACTACAAACCTGAAATAAATACTTAAAGAATCAGAATCAGAAATACTTTAATAATCCCAGAGGGAAATTACTTTTGTTACATGCTCTAGTTACAGTTTTACATGATATATACACACATCCAACTATACAATATAATAAAGATAAAAAATAAGAATAAAAAGAGATAAAATATATATACACATATAGCTCTTCTATATATATATCTGTACGTATATCTATGTATATGTAAAAACCTAAATCCAAATAGAGTGAAAAGTCCAATTAAAGTGAATAAATCCAAGTAAGGTGATACGTGGCGTGCAAAAGTAGTGCATAAATGTCAATTACAGAGGGGGGGGGGGGGGGCTGAATCACCTGAGGGAGGCGTTATATAGGTTGATGACCACAGGTAGGAATGATTTCCTGTGGCGCTCTGTGGTGCATCTGGGTAGGAGGAGTCTTCTGCTGAAGGAGCTCGTCTGCTGGACCAGTGTGTCGTGGAGAGGATGTGAGTCATTGTCTTAGATGGACTGAAACCTGGACAGCATCCTCCTCTCTGCCACGGTGGTCAGAGTGTCCAGCTGCTCCCCCACAACATCACCGGCCCTCCTGATCAGTTTGTTCAGTCTGTTGTTTTCAGCGACCCTCAGCCCACTGCCCCAGCATGTGACAGCAAAGAAGAGCGTGCTAGCAACAACAGACTCATAAAACATCCTCAGCATGGTCCCACAGATGTTAAAGGACTTCAGCCTCCTCAGGAAGAATAGTCGGCTTTAAAGCGGACATTATCAATCAGTCAGTTGGAATACATTGTAATTCAGTAGGCAATTAATCAGTTATTGATCCTAAATTGATTATTTGTTCCCTAATTCAAAGCCTTGGTCTGTTCACAGTGATAATCTCCATGTTTTATTCTGACCCTGCTTTCTAAGATTGGGACACAGATTAGTGGTGCAGCTGATCATCATTGATCCGTCATCCATTCGGATCAATATTTACATTCGGTCCACACATGATCGGCGGATTGACTTATTGAGGGAAAAAATATATAAAAAAGTGGTGCGCACGTTCCTTTCACACATAGTGTGGTCATGCGAGTGTAGGAATGGAAGAGCTTGAATGTCCCGGTATGGGAACATTTTAGTTTTCCCATCAAATTGAATGATGAAGGAAAGATTAGTGGATAAAACAGTGACAGTGTTTAGGCACCATGGCACAAGAAGTTCATATGACAGTGGAAACACATCAAGCATGGCAACACATTTGAAGTGACATCACCTCGGTGTTCCACTGACATGAGTGAAAACGAACAACAGCTTAACACAGTGGCATTTAAGCAGCCCCCTTGCTGCACTATCCGACAGGGCTAAAGCCATCACAAACAGTATCGGTGTGTTTATAGGTATGAGCATAAACCCACGCACACATTTAGCTAAAAGGTTGTTCCAGATCTTTATTAGCAGGAGACAAATAAAGTTGATGATGAACTATCCCGAGCATCCTCCGTTGCCCTCGTGACAGACTGATGGATGTCCAGGGTAACCGCGAGCTATGTGACAATAACTGTTCACTTCATTACAGCATACAACATTTTTTTGTTTTTTTGCTGATCCAACAAATGATCCGATTCGTGACTGATCCGATGAACGATCTGAACACTGAGTTTTTTATATGTTTTGCACCCCTAACTCAGATCCTTGTGTTCCTCGTTCCCTCATACCTGATCTAACCCCTAAGACCAGCTGTTGATTCTTGGAAACCATCGACAAGTATTAATTTGGAAATTCTGGAGTTTAATATAAAACATCCTAGTGCAGATGCTGTCCATTTAACATTGGATAAACCTGTTCTGTGAGAACTCTACTCTTATCAGGATAACAAGCAACTGTTCATGTTGACGCCTAAAATAGTGAAAGTTTTTGTCCTGCAGCATAAAGATCCTCCCTGAGGTTTTTACTAGGTGTGAAGGCTGCTTCGATAATGTCAGATTTAGCGGTTTGATGAGTTTCTGGGGTTGAAGTGTGATACATTTCCCTTTGTTCATTCATTTATAATATCCTGGATTTATCAAATTGTATTTTTCAAATGGATAGTGCAATGGGAAGATTCAGTAAAATCTCCATCGCGATATTGGTTGGAAATAATCGGAATTTCGATTTTTCGTGAAATCGTTCAGCCCTACATTAGATAATCTTTGCTAAATCCTAGAAGATGTTTGGCCTTTAACCTCTATAACCGTCTAGGTTTCACTTCTATAATAAATCCAACAGATACTTTACACCTAAGAAAAAAAAACAACAACAGCTAAGCATAATTGTGGGGATTTCTGTCCTTAAAAGTTGGAGTAAGCAAAACCTAACGAAGCATTATGGTGCTAAACCTTCTAGTTGTCATTATCTCCAGTGCTCCTAACATGTCTGGATTATCATTACATCATTCCTGTTGCTCGGTGAGGTGAGTCGTTTGGATCAGGACACTCTGGTTCTGTTTGTGTGTTCATTAGAGAAGATATGTATGCACAGGACTCCATTGAGCTTCTGACCACTTCAGGGATTCAGTTCAAGAAGCACGAAGACGAAGGCATCGAGACGCTTTACTTCGCCGAGCTGCTGATGACGTCCGGAGTGGTGCTGTGCGATGGAGTCAAGTGGCTGTCTTTTCATAGGTAGATCTTCATCTTTCTAGAATCGGAAACGAGACATGTTCACCTCTAAGCTAGCCCTCAATGAGTCTGATGTTTTTGGAGGTTGGGTTGCTGTCAGTGTGTCTGTAATGTCATGAACATCAGCTGCAGCCATGCGCGCTGTTGTTAAGATATTCCCATCTGTTTCTGCATGCATGTTTTTCACAGCGGCTATGACTTTGGGTACCTGATCAAGCTCCTGTCTAACGCCAACCTGCCTGAGGAGGAGGTGGACTTCTTTGAGATTCTCCGCTTGTACTTCCCTGTCATTTACGACGTGAAGTACCTCATGAAGAGCTGTAAGAACCTGAAGGTACTTTGATGGACACCTGCTGAGAACAGAGAACGTCCTGCTGTTGCTTTAATCTCTGGTTTTTAGTAGCTGTGACAGCTTTCTTTAGATGTGTGTTACGAGTACGGGGAACTTATTAATGTTTGAGGGATTTAACGTAGATTCAACATAGATTAAAACAATGGAAAAAGCAGCAGAGTAGAGCTGATGGTCATAGGTCAGCCTGGCTATGACTAAGCAGGCCAGGCTCACTCCTTTTTTTTTAAGCTGTGATGCTCCCTGCAATGCACAGTTCTTTACAAAAGTAAACATTGCAACAGTCATTGCAAACACATTCTTTCATTTATTTCACTATTTCATTTTCAAGACAAAGTGATGGAAATTGTTTTAATGATATAGGCGTGCGTTTGTATTCAGCCTTTGTTACTCTGATACCTCCAAATAAAATTCCCTGCAACCGTTTGTCTTAAAAAAGTCACTTAAGTTTTTAAATGAATGGCGTCTGTGAGTAATTTCCTCTTTATAAACACCTCCCTTCTGTATAGGCCTTATACAGATATAGGTACCCGTATTTTCCGGACTATAAGCCGCTACTTTTTTCTTACGCTTTGAACCATGTAGCCTATAAGAAGGTGCAGCTTTTCTGTGGATTTTTTTCATAACTGCTAGACGCGGAAGTAAATGTTGGAAATGGAAAGGTGCAAATTTTTATTTAGCACAAATTATTTATTTGCCGCATTAAAGCTGCTGAACTAATAAAGAGACTGGGCTCAACTCCTGCAGAGCTGAAATAAAGAGCTCATGAAGCGCCATCTTTCAGTAGAAGCTCCTACTGCTGCGAACCAACAAGCTAACAGGAGCTAGCATTCTTCTTCGTCCCAATACAGAGGCTTTATGTGGAGCTCCCCCTACAGGTTTGGTGGGGGACAGGGCTTATAGCCCAATGCGGCTTATATGTACGTTTCCAGTTTTTTCTAAAAATGTGGTGGGTGTGGCTTAAATAGACTTGAGCTCTATAGTCCAGAAGATACAGAATATGACTTTGTTCCCCGGTAAAGGCAGCGTCATGCTGTGGGCATGCTTTCCTTAAGCAGAAACACAGAAGCTGGTCATAGCTTTTGGAAGATGTACGGTAGATTCTTCATTTTTATTTAATTTCTTTTTTCACTGGCTCATTTAGTCTCTCAAACTGATGTCAGCTGCTCCCTAAAGAAATAGGAGATGGAGTAATTTATTTTTCCATTTCAGGAACAGGAAACTGCTGTCCTTTTGTTTTACTCTTGTACAGAAAAGGAGTTTAAAGGATGGATAGAAAACTGAATAGTGTTTACTCACCTTGTGTGGCTGAAATAGAATAAATGATGGAACAATTTAACACGTCTGTCAATAATTTACAGCTTTTAGCTCAAATATCACTCTGCAAATTGCTAATATTTACTCTAAATTGTTCTTGTGGGAAAACTAATGTTTGGCCACTTTTATGCTCTGATGAAAACAGGCAATTAGCAGTTTTTGTTTTAGTTCTTCTAGCCTCTGCTTATTATACAGAGCCAGTGTCTGGTTGGGGAAAAAAAAACAGTAATATGAACTTTTAAGATATCGATCTGACAGGCTTTAGATAGTCAAGAAAGCAAAAAAAAACTTAAAACAAAATGTTCCAAACACGTTACTTTCAAGAAATGTTTGAAACGAAAACAAGACATAAATTGTCATAGAGGACAAAAAAAAAATGTATGTCAAATTTGACATTTTTTCATAATATTTATTGCAAAACCGTCCAAGATCCAACAATTAAAAAATGTCATGAATGCTGTTAAATATAGATCTTAAACTCGAATTGTTAATAAAGCATTGGGTAGCACTGCTACCTTGCAGCAAGAAGGTTCCGGGTTCGATTCCCGGCCCGGGGTCTTTTTGCAGGAAGTTTGCATGTTAATAATGTAGAAAATAGAATAACAGAATACAAATTGTCTAAAAGCTAATTTATTTTCTGCTGACTTTGTTTACGAGGCATTTCCATCACAGTAGCTCAAGGATCTTTTTGCTGTGTTTTAGCTAACCTTCCAAGTATTTTTGCCCTTAAAATATAATAATCTGATATTATGACCTTGGACTAAGATCTCATCCATCAGCAAGCTGTTTTACTTGCTTGCTCAAAACAAGACGAAATGACCAGTTTTTTCAGCTTTGGTTTAAAAAGGGCTTTACACTAGATTCGTGCATAACAACCTGTGGACTAAAAATAGATGTGGGGGGAAAAATACACATATCTGTTTAGAAAAATTGTTTACAGGAAAGCAGCTTGGATTGTGTGGAGGTGTCAACCAGGAGACACCAGCAGCCGTATTTCCAGCCTGTGAAGAGCAGCCGCCGTTAGTTGGTTTAGTCAGAATGATCCATTGTGTGAATTTGGAACAATGAGGATGACTGATGCTGTGTTGTTTTTAGGGCGGGCTGCAGGAAGTAGCTGAACAGCTGGAGCTGGAGAGGATTGGACCACAGCACCAGGCTGGTTCAGACTCTTTACTCACAGGCATGGCGTTCTTCAAGATGAGAGAGGTAAGGGGTCAGGTGGGGCATGAGCCAGAGCTTTGGTTGCTTCAAGCTGTGTAAGAGAGATTCACATCTCTGTAATCCCGTCTGCAATCTCTCCCCCTCCAGATGTTCTTTGAGGATCATATCGATGATGCGAAATACTGCGGCCACCTGTACGGGCTGAGCTCGGGCTCGGCTTACGTGCAGAACGGAACGGGAAACGCTTACGAAGAGGAGGCCAACAAGCAGCAGTCGTGACATCGCTCTGAAACTCTGCCATCCCTGCTACTCGCATCCACAATCAGCCCGGCTCTGAGGCCCGGCGCCGCGACAATAATGGAGGAACAAACTACCAACGTACATAATATGCATCATTTAGCGAGCTGTTTTTCATTGGCTTTGCCAACTGTAGATGATGGAGAAAAGAATCCCAGCTGTCCTCATCCATGCCGCGAGTTGCATGTGTGAGTTTAGGCTTTTATTCCTGCAAGGCAGCATCGACGACGCGAGCGGTTCAGTTTAGTTAAACATGATGGGATTTTAGTTTTTCTGAAGTGTTCTGTAGACATGTTTTGCACTTTAAAGAGCTCTAACCTGATTTTATATGGAAAGCTGAACGCATTTCCGGCGTGTCTCTGTCTCTCTTCCCTGTTTGTTGCCTTTCTGTGTTCCTGTTTTATATTGTGAACATGTAGGAAAATCACCACCACGAAAGCAGCTCTCACCACACTCAGCCTTAACAGTAGCTGCATTCTTCTCTTTTAAAACTTTTAATTTATTGTGCTGGTTCCGCGACGTCCTCCGGCAACCCCGTCAAACACTAAGACCCGGATGAGCCCCCCGCCCTTCCTAAAATCCGGATGGATCAAGACCAGAGTTTTTTTGTTTATTTGTTCATGTGATTAAAAAAATGTTTGTAATGATCTGAATAAGGTCTGAATTCACTGTGAAAAAACGTCTTCTTGGTCCAGAACAGGACAACAGTTCTTCCCTCTTATTTCCTTGAGTTCAGAAATGTCACATGCTGTTCTATAAATAGCGTTCATCCAGATGCTTTTCATTAGGAGGAATGACTGTCGTTTGTTTGTCCAGTCGCTCTCGCTGACGGATGCACACGTGGTCAGATACATGAGCTTTGTGTAACTGACTGGTGATGCTGCAACCTTTTTTTGATTAAACCAGCTCTTTTTTTGTTTCTTCTAAATGACTCTTCTGGGAGTAAACTTCTCATTTTTATTATTTTAGTCTAACCAGGTTGGGGGCTTTTATTCATAGAGAGCGTTGCTTATTAACAAACACCGTTTGAATTTGGAATGACTCCTATGCTTTTCTCTCCAGTTAGGCTGCATGCGTTCAAACCTTTCAAAGCTGTGCTGTTAATTAGTTCCCAGACTTGCGTTGCTGTGTTCAGGTTTGCAGCTTATATCAACCGCTCTATGCGTCTAAAACTGACATGTGCTTCTTTTATTTCTGCAGCTCATCTCTCACCCTTGTTAGAGAATAATATGCAACTTGAAGAGAGGAATGTTTTTAGTGTTTTTTTTTTTTTTTTTTTTTTTTTTTTTTTGTAAATAAAGGCTTGGAAGTTTTTCTACAGGAAAAAAAGATCTTTGCAATGAAATCCTTTGACTTCAAATTGCAGGTAGCAGTTATAAACAGAAATTTGTCGATTTATAAGACATATTTATTATAAAAATACACAAAACCAGTTTAGGGTCAGTCTACACTAAGACTGCAAACTGGAAAATATGAGCAAAACATCCAGATTTTGCAAATAATGAAGACTGACTCGATGGTCTGAAAACCCCAATAAATCTATATACATATGTTATCTAATTTGGTTATGATTCTGCTTAATATACAAATTAAAAGGTTTGGGCAGAGGTTCTTTGTCTTTAATTTCATAGCTATTCTTTGGTGACTATAACTTCTCCATAAAACACAAAACCTACATCTGAAAAAATGAGTTCTGTGTTTGTCATATTTAACAGTTTATTAATTTCACCTCAGTAAATCAAATTCCCAGAGCTTTTAATGTGAAAGGGGCTATGGGAAAGACTTTTTCCCAAAGTCAGGAATTTACCCCCTCAACAAAGAGGGTTACACTTGAAAGCTAATTAGAAATGAAACAGGATGTTCACAGATCACTGTGGTCTAGAATCCCTTAGCAAAAGGTAGTATACTTGAAGTAAATTCTATTAAGAATACTTAAGTATAAGTTTAGAAAGTATACCAAACAATGTACTTTTAGTGTATTAAAGTATTACTAAAGTAATACTTTTTCTAACTAAATTGGGACATTTTTAAGTTTACTAAAGTATACTTAAAGTATACTTAAGTAAACAATAAAGTACACAATAGTATAGTCAAGTACACTTGACTATACTATTGTTAAGTATATGAAATATAGTTTAGAATAAGTAAACTCTAAGTGCACTGCCTGATTTTAAGTATGAAATTATTGCACTTTTAGTATACTTGAATAAACTACTTTTAGCTAAGGGATATTAATGGATAGTTCAGTGGAAGGAAAAACTGGTGGAGAAAGATGCCCAGGCATCCAGGATAACCATGGTCTTTAGGGATTACAAGACATGGACGGTAGATGGAGCCACCAAGCAAAGCTGTATTCAGATCAGTCATTGTTGATATAGAGTAGAAATATACTTTTTTGTCCTCCAGATGGAAAATACAAGTGTGTCGCTGGACAGCAAAAAGACATGAGAAGCACCATTAATAAAAATACTAAGATTATAGAAAAGACTAGCAACGAGAAACCATCAATTAAAACAAGAGAAATACAGTTTACGAAAATGGCTTTGAATACATTAGATGTGCAAAATCATTAAGTGAATAAAAATCCACAAAAAAGGGCATATTTATACAGTTAAATAAAAACCATGTACTTTAAAGAAGTTAAAAGTATAGATGTTAAGCTTCTACACCAAAGAAGGCTTAACTAAGTTAGACTAGTTTATAATGCACTGAGGAGGCAGAATAAATGTATAAAACGCTAGACTCTAACTGAACCAGAAATAAAGATGATAATCCAGACAAGATTCAAAAACTGGATTTTAAAAGATGATACATTAAAAGGATTATAGTTATGAACTCCTTAAGGTATAAAATAGGGATAGAAAGTCAGTTACTAAAGTTTAGATGAAAGCTGAGCTGAAAAAACAATAATTGTCTAAACCAATTAAAACCCAGCATAAAGTCTGAAGGAAGAGGAGAGCTTTCCTTTCATCAAGTCTATTACTGATTCATTTCAAAGGAGCCCAGACTCAAATGCAGTAAATTAACATAATTATATGTCAATTTACTAGGATTTGGTATAAAAATATGAAGATTATAATCTGATTTGTCATATTTTGAATAAAATCTTTGAAATGAAATAATATTTCAATGATGTTCTGACTTAATGGAACATTTGTGCTTTTATTGAGAAAAGGCCGAGACGGAGGATGAGCTCACTTTATTCTTATAAGGCATCACAGCTTGCCTCACACATCCAATTCATCTTACAGACAGGAAAGATAGAAAAATATGTCATGATGAAGATTTTAAAAGTGTACATTCTTAACAGCACTGTTTAGTACAATTGGATCTTTAAGTCTTTTCCAGCCTGAAAGGACTGTACAAGACTTTTTTTTTTCTGTAAGTCAGCCACATTTAGAAAAAAAAACAACCAAAAACTTCAAACGGTTTCTGCTTTCCGATGGCGGATCTCGTCTGCTGCAGAAGCCTTCAGGGAGAAACAGTCAGAAACAGTGGACTCCAGGCTTAGCAGTAACATCCTCACTCATGCCTCTCAGTCAGAAGAGCCCTTTTTAAATGTAATTACTAATCACTACATTGTTTTCTTTTTCATTTCATGTCTGCATTGACATCCTGAGATGAGAGCATGCAACTCTTTCACAATACTCACCATGATGCATGTGAAATCTAAAAAAATGAACATTACAAGAGGAGGGAATATCTTGATATGTCTCTGCTCGTCTATATTTAGCATTTCTTCATGTGCCAAAGAATCAAAGTAACCAGCAGGTAGTTTCTGAATGTGCTGCAACAGGGAGAGCAGCTGACGACACAGTTAGAAAAACAAAATGCCATCCTCTCTGACTGCAGCTCGGCGCTTATTTGCATCCAAAGAAACACAGATGACTGGAATGCAGAGACTTTCAGAGAGAGCAGCAGACGTGGTGGCTCATCTGGTATTTCCTGGCTTTTGTCGGTCGAGTCGTGTTAAACTCAGTGCAGGTTGCATGATGGCAAACGACAAAGCTGTCACCAACACGCACGGTGGGATAGGCACAAACACAGAGGAGGGCAGCATAGACCTGCAGGATGAAAGGCTTATTATTCAGGCAATCATTATTTAATTATAGTTCTAAATTTTCACATGATTAATAACCTACATTTGTGGTCGGAACCTGTCAGCAGGAATCATCATTACGCCTCATTTTCAACAGTCATCACTGGGTTACTGGCACCTGGACACAGATATAAACACATGTGAAACATTTCAATGAGTGCAAATGATCAGAGAAACATGCATCAAAGCAGCTTCTTAGAATGCATTATTCCCCTTAAATCATCTTCTATTTAGTCTCTTTAAACTCAGAGGAGCAGCCAATGGTCACTTTGGAGGATCTGCAGGGATTCACAGCTCAGCTGAAATAATTTGCAGCTGTTAGTCTTGCACTCCACCACCTGGATTGTGTGGATAAATTGCATGAAAGTACGCAGCAATTATGTGGAAGATTTCTGGCCAACAATTAAACGGACAAGAGAAAATAAAAATTAGGTTGATTTTTTTTCCATCCCATCTCAAGTTTATGTGACATTTTGTTTAAGACTAAGACCGGAAATCCGGGTGAAAGATATCAGTATCTTTGGTTTCCATGTCAAAAACTGAAAATGTTTAAGGGCTGTTAAGATTACTTTTGGAAAGTAATGTTATCAAATGTGAAATTGGATTATTGTGTTATGATCTTGCCCATCTTGTCTTTGTCTCTTGCACCTTCACTTTCTGACCAGGAGGGGGTGCTGGTGAGCAGTCTGCTCTGACTCTCTCTGAGGGGCTTAGAGGGGAACTGGCGGCCCTCTGCTGCACTGCAAGAACACAAACAGAGATGTGATCCAATAAAATCCTACCCAAAAATAAAAACTCCTTCTTTATGCTGACATGAGAAGTCTCTATTTCCACTCATTGATCTCATGTTTGAATTGTCACCTCTTGTTGGCAGAGCTGGATCCAGCAGGCGATGAGGGCTGCTCAGGGTCCAGATTCACCAGGCAGGTTGGAAACGAGCAGCCATCCCCTAAACTGTAAATCCAACACAAAAGCAAAGAATGCAGATATATGAATAATTTCAAATTGCTATTTTAACCCTGGTTTTATGTTTACAGTCTTCACACACATGCATGTATTATCTGTGTTCATGACTCTCATTTTGCACAAAGAAACTGAGAAATATAAAGAATAAGACGAAAGATATGAATATTAATAACAAAGAAAGGTTTATTATATTACTTATACACATAAAGTATTAGGATCTATGGTTATATTATTTTTGTGTGTTAAGATTCTGAGGATGTGGCCACAGCGCTCTGCTGGGACCATTTTGAAGCACTTTATTAGGAAGTAAGTGAACAGGGCTCAGGTATCTCCAAGTTAAATTATATTATGTTAGAAAATGGCTCTATTCTTACACAATATTAGCATATAAGAGGCATGCGGGCTCAGCTAGAACAGGATTTGCATTCATGTTTAATGTTTTTACTGTTGTGTTTTTCAGGTATGGATGTTTTATTGGATTAGGAAGCTTGATGTGGTGATGATATTAGTAGAGAAATAAGCGAAAGACCATCACCTTTTAAAGACTGATTGTTATTTTGCACATATCTGAAAAAGCTGACATTACAATCACAGATTTCGTTGTATTTTATTGGGACTAAATGTGACAGCAAAACAAAGTGGACGTAAAACCATCCATTAGTCTCCCACTCGGGGAAAAAAAAAAACAAAACAAAAAAACGTTTTGTTTCTTTTTAGCATGTCCCTAATTTTATTTGATCAATTTTCCATAAACTCTAACAGCACGCTGCTGCCACCTCCATGCTCCACTGTAGTGATGGTTTGTTCAGGAGCAGTGTTAGTTTTCTACCACAGCGTTTCAGAATTATGCTCTACTTTTAATATTCTCACATCAAATCCCAATAAAGTTCATGGATATCATTCTGTGATAAAATGTGAAAAACAGTTTTAAGCCTATGCAGACTCTTGCAGGGCAGTAGACTTTTCTTTTGTTGAACAAGACAAAGCTTCCACATCGGTTGGGGAAAACACAGCAAAAATGAAAATTGGCCCTGACACATCTCATCTGACAGCTTGTTATGTGTACGCAGAGACTCTTTACAGACTGACAGCATAAGCTGCTCCATCTACACACAAACTCCCCCCCATCTGCTCATCAAACACAAGCTTGTCTTGTGAGATCACTCGGTAGGATGTTCAGATCACACCAGCAGTGAGCGGCAAAGGAAAACTTTGATCTCACAGAGGCGTCCACAGAGACATGATTGGCTGCTTTCTAATACTGGTCTGCTGTAGAACAGTTCGTAGTCCAGACAGAAGATGGAAAATGCAATAATACAGTACGCTCTGACAAGTCATGTGATGATCAGGGATCTGCTGTGTTATGATAGCAGGGTGTGGACCTGGAAACCATCTATTATCTTGTGGAAAATTGGCCCACAGATGTGGAGTTCATACAAGGTTCAAAACTTGTCTGTAGGAAATATGTGGGACAGAAGAGGAGCTCTAGGTCGTGGAGGCACTTCGGTGACACACTTGCTGTAGTGTGTGCAGATCGGCCGCCGTCTTATTGAAAGACGACAGGTTCAACCTTTCCTGCTGTGGTACGCCATAATGGAACCCTGATGTTCCCGAGTTTGTGCCGACATTGAGGTATAAAAGATTTTGCCACTTCCGAATTACCCATCTATTGAATGCCATCATCTGCCAAGGAACTTCCTCTGTCTCAGTTTACCTTCACTACCAGCTTGGACTGCCTGCAGTTTCTACAGGAACCTCCTGATGCCTGGTTAAAGCCTTTAAGTGCACAATCTGGGCGTGTTAGTTCATTACAAATATGATTGTATACAAGGCTGTAAGGGTTTGGTTGAGGTTTTGAGGACCCAAATGCAGAGGTGATGAGGCAGAGGAGAGTTCTTGTAGATTTAATTAACTGAGGCAAAAACCGAAAAAAAAAAAAAAAAAGCAAAGTACACAATACATGGAACCGAAAACCAGACAACTACATGGGAAAATTTGTATGGGGAGCCAGGAAAAGACGAGGAATCAGCCCTAAAGAACTGCACAGCGAGAGTATATATATGGGAGGCAGAACAAAGACAGGACGAATTAGCTGATTGGGAGCAGGTGTGAACAAAGAAGTCTAGAAGGGAGCTAGGGAAAAGGAGCACAACACAAGAGGGCAACAGAGGGCAATCAAGAAATACCCAAGAACTTAAATATATCCAAAAACACCACAAAATAGGAATTAAACCAATAAAACTAGAAAACAAAGAAAAACATGATTCAAAGTGAAACTGAAAACTCAATAGAAAACTTAAACAGAACCAGGACTGTGACAAAGGCGGCTTCTTTAAGAAGGTATTATATATTTTGTCTTTTCTGATGTATTTTATTGGTGTTTTGTTTTATAGACCATGCATATCAAACTAAAGGCCTGCAGGCCGAATCAAGCAAAATTATGGAAAAAGTTATATCGTCACAAAATAAAGAAAGACAGATACACCATTAATTTTGCCTGATATTAGCTTTTTTTCATGTAAAGGCATAGGGCAATACTTGTATGCTTTCATCGATTCTTTAGTATATTCAGTTAATGATGCTGAGATGAAGCCTCATGAAGCATTGAACCGTTTGGGCAAATTGCTTTAACGATCTCCACAGTTCATGAAGCTTCATGTGAACATGTCACCACCTACTGGTGGAGTGCAGAACTACAGTTAGCAATATACTGTAACCTGTGAGGTTTGCAATTGTTTTATCACCTTAAAGTTCTTTTGAAATTATCTATGATTGGTGTTTATAATAAGATCTTTTGCAAGGTTTTTTGAGCATAAAATGTATTAGACGAGAACAATATTTCAAGGTACACGGTTTTTCTTTATTTTTGTTTTTTAGTTTAGTTAATTAGAGAAGATGTAGATTTGACCAATCAGAGGCCTCCTGTCTGAGGCACTGTCTGTGTTAAGTCTGATTTATACTCAGAAACCAGGTCGTCTGCATGTGTCACAGTGAATGCAAATATGCCCCCGTCCCCTCCGCAGACACTCTGCTGCACCTCTCCAATATTGTAGATGACAGCAGACAGTGCCGCAGACAGGAGGCCTCTGATTGGTCAATTCTACATCCGCTCTTCTCTACGCATATTTCCATTTTGGTACCTTATGGGCTTTTGACTCGTGAAGTTTGACCTGCAAAACGCTGGGACCCTTTTTCCACCTCCATCCCCGCTCCCTGAGGTGGGAGTATAAAGGGCTGGTTAAACTCCCTGCAGCAGTGTGTCGCAGTGAGCTTGTTGCAGATATTTTGGATTTATGCCCATTATTGAAGCGTGGTCTGCGCTACGTTATTCCACGCCACAACGCAAGAGGGCAATCAGGAACTAGCAGTGGGTCTAGATACGGCCGAGGCGGTGAGGTGGGGGCAAATTTGTGCGACAACAGAGGGACATGACGGCGAAAAAAAGGCGGGGATCCAGGTGGAAAAAGGGTCCCAGCGTTCTTGCGCACCTCGCTTTTCTAGCTGGTCCATCTCCGCGAGTCGTTTTCCACAATGGCGATCATACAAACAAAACAAGCCGGTAAGGTACCAAACAGGAAATATGCATAGTGTAGCGCGGATGCAGAATTGACCAATCAAAGGCCTTTTGTCTGCGGCACTGTCTGCAGTCACTTACAATTGTGGAGAGTTGCACCAGAGTGTCTGCGGAGGGGGCGGGGGCATATCTGCGTTAACTGCAACACATACGCAGACGACCTGGTTTCTGAGCATAAACCAGCCTTATGACCTAACAGCTTCTTCACCCCAGCATTGTGCAGGTGAAAAAAATGGCAACCTCCGTGGGTGAAAAATGTAACACAATTTCTGAGTTAATTAGTTTCATGAATTTGTATGTATCAAAAAGTTGTTTTTTAGGGTAACAGGAAAATTACAACCTTTTTAGGCCAACATATTCCATTAGCTGTGGGTTGCTTTAACAAACATTTAAACAAGCCCTTCTAATCCATTAACTTTCACCGGCTTTAAAGGATGATCTCACCTGGAGAAAATGGGAACAGGCCAGTATTTGGCTTCGTCACCAAAGACCTGGAGGAAGTTCTTGGTAAAGCCGAGACTAAAGCCGTTTTTGTCCGGACCATGACGGAAGACCGGAGCACGCACCGCCTCTAAACCAACAGACAGAGAGAAAACATACCAAACACTTCACTGCCTGCTCAGAATTTTATATTTTATTTATTTTAATTTTATCAGAGCATCATGGGGACAACACAATCTCATTCAGGTGCAGATCTGCAGGAGTCTTCCCTGTTTTACTACGGCTTCAATCAAATTCCTCTGAATCAAAGTGTCTTTGTTGTGCGACTTTCATAGTGTTTTAACCAGGTGTGACTTGTCTTTCTGAACAGCATATCAGTGTCCGTCTCTAAGCTGCTTACCGCTCTGAGCCTTGTGTCTTTGCATTACTGTGAAACGTACTCCTCTGGTTAATCCATACTCCTCGACGCAGAGACAACGTGTGCCACTGTGTGCTCCTAATGAGAAACTACGGAGCTGATAACGTCCCCCTAGAGCAGCACATCAAATCCGCACACTGATAGGTTGGGGAAAAAATGTGGAGAACCGCTCCTTCATCTCTGGCAGACAGAGGAGGATGGATGTAACCAGAGCTCCAGGGTTTTTTGAAAAACACAAAGATGTCCACACAGACATGGAGAGGTACAGTAGGTGCTGAAAACGAGACGCACCCAGAGTGGATCTGTTCTTGCAGACGAGCCAGCAGTGATAAATGAAAAGGGAGGCCAGGCTGACGGAAAACATGGAGGCTGAGAAGAAGAGGAACAGGATGTGGAACTTCGCCTGAGTGTCCGGGAGGCCTTTCTGGGAAGGAAGAAGGCAGCGTTAGCACGCATACATTGGTTCTAAGAGGCCACTGTTTGAATGGGGGTGTTACTGGCTAGGTTTAGGAGAATCACTGTTTAAATTGGCTACTGAGTCCCTTTGGAAGCCCAAATTTAAAACTGTGATGAAAAAAAAATCTAATTAGGAGATAGCACAGTTTAAATATCAGTAACTAAACTATAATCACAAGTGTCCTTATTAATGTTATTTTTTTCAAAATGATTACAAACTATGTCATATCCATGAGATACTGGGTCAAAGATTTGACCCAGATTTTACAATCAGCATGGGATGAGTGTTGGACTTTTAATTATGCATTCAAACAATCATTTTAGTATGTAGAAGGTTTATAAAACAGAAAACTGATGCACAAGTTTGGATGCATAGCTGATCTTCCTGAATCCACACAAGGTCAACATTTTAAATAAGGATTCCCCCTCTGATACTGGATAAATATCCCCTAGAAAACGGCACGCTAGCCATCAGGGTTTTAGTGCCATCAACAAGTAGGGAGACTCTGAATGGGTGTCTGAGCTTGTTTCTTGGAAGAAATTGTAGCCGTCTTTTAACAGGTTGGTTTCCAGGTGCAGGACTGGCCCAATTGGGTGTGTTTTGGATCTGTCATGTTAGAATAAACAGTTCTGGCCAATATTCAGCCATTTTGGTGTTGATTGATTCATTTAGATAAATCTTGGAAGTACTCCAGGTTTTTTGTAATCCGATTCATAGTAACACTTGGATGAAGCAGGCCCAGAGCACAATGCTGCCGGTGCCATGCACCACAGCTGGAACAGTTCTCTTAGGTCTAAAAGCCTCAATTTGAAGTCTTCAGATATCCTTCTTGTTTCTTTTTTATTGTCCAAACAAACATGGACATTTTACATGCGGCCCAGGCACATTTTTTATTTGCTCCCTGAAAATCTGACTTAAGCGATCACACATATAGTGAGCAGAAAATCCACAATAAAATGCTAAGCAATGCCTAATGTATCACAAATGATACAAACAACTTATATAATCTAACTTACTCACAGTTGATGTTTAGGATTTCTGTTCATTTTCTGAAGGGTTTGGTAACATATTTAGTTTAGAAAATGAATTTTTTTCTCATTTATTTTATGTTGAGACCTGAGTGTTAATGAAAAAGATGTATTAAGAGATAATTATTCAATGCTTTATCCTAATTATTACATGGTTTATTTGATAATAATGCTTTAAATGTTTAGGTTTTTTCTTCGTTAAATCACAGTGTTAAAAATAGGCTTCCATAGAGTCCCTAATATAGTGACATAGCAATGTTTGGTACCCCCAAAAAAACTCCATCACTGTCAGAATGAGACACAAGATTCTCTTTAATATCCAAAGGTGACTTATTCCATTTTCATCTTCATGTCAGAGGAGTTAAACGGGAAAGAGGTATGGAGTAAAAGACAGGCCGCCCTGCCCTTTACTGTCAGCTAAATGAGGCATCTATTTTCCAGATGGTGTGGTGCTCCCTTCCAAACTCTGCAGGTATTCGGTTAAACCCTCCCTTTTTCCTCTACCAGAAAGAAGTTCCCAATGTCACGGTCTGCAGCACAGAATCCAGCCATGGCTCATACAAGCTTACAAGCTTACTTCCTGAACACACTGGAAACATTTCAGGGGTCCCAAACTTTTGCATGCCGCTGTGTCTAGCTTCTGATGCAGTAAATCACTAACTAACCGCGTAGTGCATACCAGATACTCTCTCAGACGGAAATGTGCTCTACCTCCAGCCTTTGTTAAAAGACCAAACACAATGTTACAAAAAGAAACAGTATATGCAGCTGTTTTATTGCACCTTTTACTGGTCCCTAAGGTGCAACAAGTTATCTTTATTCCAGATAACTGAGAATGTGCTGATTTAACTCAACTTACTGTCCAGAACTTGATAAAGTACTTGAGATCTGTAGCAGTTATAAAAAGGCAGTATAGTAGAGAATATGCCAGGAACAGCATGAAGAACTTGTAGTTAGAGAATCCCACACAGTTGTTTACCCTGCAGATAAAAACAATAAGCAGGGTGGTGATAATAAAGAAGCTTAATACAAGTTTACACGAAACAATGCATTGTTAAGTCTGTCATTGTCCAACTCAATCAAATTGTAATTTATTCAACTCAATTATTTATTGGCTACTGTGAAAACTAAAGCTCTCTTAAATTCAGAGAGTGTTTTAGGTTTTCACTCATCTCATCTGAACAAACGACTGGGCTGAAACTTAGCAGGTCGTGTTCCCCACAGGTTGCATGACTCAGCTCTTTCTTTTATTTCTTTCTGCAGACAAGGTCTGTCCTCTAGCTGTGCATGGATTATTATGAGGCCTGATGTGTTTAGGAGGCATGCACTTGCTTCACAGTTTGTCTTGCTACAATAACAAAGGAACATTATATTGGTTTCTAAACATTTATACAAGTACCAATCCATAGAAACTGTGGCATGCATTTATATTCAGAACCTTTGACTGAATGCTGATTTGGACTATATTATGCTGGAACTAAAGCTACAGTTCTGGGTCAGGTCTTTGCAACGGTAACTAAGAGGTGCAAATATGTATGCAATAGAATACATAGTTTTACAGCAAATTTAAAAAGTTCGCCAAATCCAGAAATTAGACCAAAACAAAAAACAAGACTAAACCACAAAGCACATGCAAGTGAAAAGTGTTGAATGTGGCAAAGACATTTGCAAGTTAAAGAGACATTTTTTAAGTTTGAATTTTAAAATATCTTAGTTGTTAGGATAATTATCATTCATGATGTGTTAGTTTACAACACCTTAATACTAGCTGTCTGTTGCATGTCAGAATTGATGTTTTCCGCAGTAGTTTATCTAATCAGGACAGGTCCTTGGTCCGGCTATATACAGTTATAATCTTCATTGTGCACGTGGCAAAGATTTGTGAACGGATCGAAGTAGTGCTCTGGATCAAAGAACAAAGCCATGGATGTCTCCTCATCTGCAAACATGTAATATGTAATGATGTGATTATGTGGCAGACTGGAGATGTATAAAATGCTTCTTTAACTGTGGCCTCTTCCTGAGAAATGAGCCCGGTTGGTATGCAGCTGCCTTCTGTAACCCTAAGCAACCTCTCTGATCTGAGTAAGATTACAAATAAAAGAGATCACTTGGAAACAAACTCTTTAAATAACACTTCATAACTTATATGTATTAAATAACCAGGAGACACGACAACAGATTCTGATAGAAATTGTAATCTGACTCAGATCAGAGAAGTTGCTTAGAGTTACAGAAGGCAGCTGCTCACCTCTGGGCTCACCTCTCAGGAAGTGGGCCTGATTTCCAGTTAAAAAGGCATTTTATACATCTACAGTCTGCCACATCATCACATTATTACATCATACACGGTAGCAGATGAGGAGACATTCATGGCTTAAGCCTTATCAAAATATAACACTTTGTTCTTAGCTGAACATTTCATTCCCAAATATTTGCCACGTGCAGAATGAAGATTATAACTGTATATCCGGACAGCGGAACCGTCTTAATTAGATTAAGTATTGTGGAAAACATCAGTTCTGACACGCAACAGGCAGCTAATTTTAAGGTGTAATAAACTCACACATCATCAATGATAATTTTCCTAACTGCATCCTTTTTATGACTTTACCAAGGCTTTCTTCTCATGTACAATATCTCTCCTGAGTCATCTGTAGCACTTCAATTCAGTTCAGCTTTAATTCAAATTATTCATATGGCCCCAGTTTACAACATGTGATCTCCAGGCTCTTTACAGAGACAATTCATCCAGATCATAGAGTCAGATTGGTTCAGTTTTCTATCTACCAGCTAATAGCATCGACTCATTGACTCGATTACATGGCTCTAATTTGTAGCTTTTTATAACTTGCAGTTCTTTTTGCCACTTTAAGCTTTTTTTCTTTTTGTGTGTCAACATGATTTATGCATTCGCAGCAATCACCATTTTATCACATGAATACGCTTTGCACCATTCCAGTGCTGCATTGGCTGTATCTCTAGTGTTGTAGCTCAGCTAGAGGAGGAAACTTCACTTTCAGTCTCAAATCTTTAGCTGACTCTAAAAGACTTGCTTCCATTATGCCTTTTATTTGGAGTATTCCAGTATTCCTTTCAAATGTTTCTAGGTAATGTCTGTCCCTGCACCTTAAACGTTAATTTTGGGGGATCCTTCCTTCACATTGTTTGTGGCTACTCTCTCATAAAATTGAGACTTGTACAGAGCTATAAGACCTGCTCAGCTTCCTGTCTGACCTGTCTGCTGTGCTCCTTGATCTTCATGAAGTTTAAAATCTCCTGGTTTTAAACCGATCTTAAATTCCTAGACTCTTTTTCATTTATTTGGTGAATTCTGATGGACGTTGCACTTAATTCTATTCAGGCGAATCAGAGTATCACAATCCACGTTATATCTTTGTGATGTTGTGTCATATAAAAGTCCCAATAAGAGACCCTGGAGTTTGTAGTTGTAATGTAATAAACTGCAAAAGTTTAAGGCCTGTGAACACTTTTAGGAAGCAATGCAATGTGTAGAAACCTTGTTAGTCTGAATGCAAATGGGAGGTGCAGCACCATAAGCTGTTTACCCAAACCTGGGGGGAACGATACTCACCAGGGGCAGTGGTGATCCATCTTCAGGATGCATCTGCAACACAGTATGATTCAACTTCAGAGCAATTAAATAGGACTCCTCCTGTCAGCATTCTATATTATCATATGATCTGTTCTGTGGAGGAGCGGGGAGCTGAAAGTCGTACTTATCACAGACTGAACAATGGTGACATCGATCAGGCTTCAGCAGCTGGCAGCGGTCACAGAAACGAATTGCTGAGGAGAAACAGGCAGTTCAATCACTCAGTAATCAGCAGCAGCCTCTCCTAACCTGCTGGTCCACACTGTTCCAGCTGCACTGCAGAGATGAGAGTGTGCCGTACCTCCAGAGTTGGTGCGGGTGTAGATGGGCAGGTCCTTGGCTATTCTCCTCAGGATCTCCTGCTGGGACTCTCCACGGTCTTCACGCTCCAGCAGCTCCTTGTCAGAGTGAGACAGCTCAAACTAAGTAGGACAGAGGAAGAGAAAAACACAATCTATGGTTTATGAGGGGGATTTATTAAGCCGTGTTCATCACATCTTTGTTTTTGTCAAAACATATCCAGTTATTCTGCATGATAAGCTAAGTGCTGTTTGAGAATCAGTGATGGAGGAGTCCTTGTTAATATAAACTGAGAGGCAGTGAAAACCGTCTGCTTCCTCATCTGTCTTGACTGCTTCTGCTTCAGCAGGAAAATGGGAGAGAAGCACAAGCACAGAGCCGGGATATTGCTCCCAGGCACGGGAAAAAGAGATGATTGAACAATAGAAACAAATAACTGAGATGATAACAGGCAGCACAGACAGAATTTATTAAGATCAGCAAAACCTCCAGTGATCCATCGATTACATCTCATAAAGAAGAATCTGGTATATCAGCTGATGTGGTCCCTGCAGAGGTATCCTCACTCTGCAGGGCTGAAGTGCTATGGTCAGGATCACAGCCATTAAAGTGCAGCTTCAGGCATTCCAAACAGAAAGTATTATTAGTCTAACTGCAACATTCAATCACAAGGGGGCTGTAAGGAGGGGAAGTAGCATGCATCTTAGCCTGCCACTGCCTTCCATCATCCCGGATGCACTCACCTCCTTCAGGGGGTTCATAGGCTTGGTGAAGATGGTCTGCCAGTACGCCCACACGAACATGAAGAAAATGACATGGTAGGCCAGCAGGTAAACAACTGAAAACAGAACAATAGAGTTAGTTTACCCTTTGCGTGTGTTTCACCACATGTTTAATTTGACGAGCTGAACTAAATATCTATGTTCTGCAAAAAAGATCAGCCTAAAAATAATATAAAAAAAACTTAATCTGAGGGAAAACCTACTCAAATCAAATTGAATTACCTTTCTGTATATCAAGTCATCTTCACTTAACAAGATTTATGAATTAATGATGTAAAGACACTTGAAAAAAGAACTTAAAGGTAATTGGTACAGCTTTTATCCTTTTTTTTTTAATTTTTTCCAAAAAAAATACATACCTGTATACAGAATATATATAGAGAGTGGTGCAGAATAAAATTATTCATTTTACTGTAAAAAAAAATAAATAAAAAAAATAGTGTATATAAAGTTTTTCATAAAAGTTTGATGGGTCCAAAATATGTAAATATTTACTTCTGGTTGCTATGGCCACGTCAACACTAGTGTTGCACCGATACCAGTATTAGGCGGGGCCCCAAACTGCTCTAAAATGGTGGTATCGGTATCGGTACCATCAAATAGGGCATCGATACCATTTTGAGAGCCAAAAGTTTATTTAACTATTGTCACCCATTCCAGGTAGACAATAAAAAGTTCTACTGGATTCACTTTGTATTAGTCTTTTTCCTGCTTCACAAAGGTAGGAGCAGAATGGAAGGCATTCTTGAGAAACCATGAATTGCTTTCCTTTCACTTCACAGTTATGAACTACTGTGTCTTTGTTGATTACATTTAATCCGAATAATCCCTCATCATATTAATGTAATGAAACATTTATGGGTAAAGGAGTGTGAATATTTTGTTTAGATGCTGTTTTTGAGATGCCGTTAAATCTCTTACCCTTTTCTCCCGTGTCCTCGATGGATTCTGGAAAACAAAGCGTTAAAAGTTGGTCAGTGAGGAGAACATGGTGTGTTTGAGAGCCAAGCTGTGGAATAAAATGCCAAGCATTTGACTTCAGAATGGTAGAACTGAACAAACGCTGAGCTGGTACACCCTTCGTTCCTGAGCTCAGAACTTCAGACACATAATCAATATGAAACATGCTGGTCACTTTGACTCATTGTGCCTCCAGTGCATTCAGAAAAGACGAGGGAGTATAAACTGTAGCACCAGTTCATTAGAAACCCTTATTTCCGATAGAAAAAGAGCTGGAGAAAGACAGCTGAACGAATTAAATTAAATTAAAAGAAAAATGGAAACCGAGAAGCTGAATTTAAGGCATGCTATCAAGAAACATGCTTGCTGCTCCGCCAGCAGAAAGTCTCAGATTCCAACAATGTGTGTGAGATTAAGGACAAACATGGGTGTGTTTTGATGATGTGTCTGCAAAAAGCAGCATTTTTTCCTCTCCCTGCATTCAGTGTATCTCCAAAAACCAAACTCCACCTGATCAGTGCGCTCAGTTGCTGGGTGCTATGAAGGAAAATAGGTCAGCCACAGATTTCTCAAGGCGAATTATGCAAACCAGACAATGGGATTAAGTGGATCGGAGGGCATCAGCTGATGATACTTTCACACAGCCGCCTCTGTGTCCTGTCTGCTGGGGGCCTGAGCAGCTGATTGTTGTTTTCATCTTCGTGGCCTGAATGCATCATAATTTTGTTCTTGTGATGAGGAAAAAAATAATGCAAAGTCAAATTTGAGACAGAGGCTGCTGATTGGGGATTTTTATTTGGATTCTGTCTTGCCCCTGCAGCACACATGGATCTGTAACAAAGGGTTGATTCTAGATGAGAGATGCTGGCTTGAATTTGCTGTAATATCACCCACTTAGTTCTGCTGTTGGATGATCATAAACAGGGAACAAGCTGTCAAAACATCAACTCCTCTCCTTCTGCATTTGCGTTTCCTTTCTCATTAGACTCATCTCTATTTCATCCCCTGCTCTCTTTTTTCACAGAGATTTTCCTTTGGAGTGCTCTGACTTCCTGCCAAATGGAGCACAAGTGAGACATCCTAGAAAGCCATTACTATCCAGGTCAACTCAGTGCTCACCATTAAACTCAGGAAGCCCAGTAGCGGGTGACCAATCCATCCAGGGTTCAGCACTTGCAGAAAAGCCATTAGAATCCGGCCTTTTGCCAGCAGATAATGCTGATTGTGTCTGTGCTGGTGGGTATAAATTTGGACGGCATATCTGGGCGAGCACATGAGCCTGAAGCTTTCACTGTAAGACTTTAAGCCGGTGCTGATGGAGTGGCAACGGGAGAATCAGATGGTCTTATCCCCTTCTTACATCCTGTGATATTGCACTGATCATGAAGAGGCGCTCTATAAAAGCTATCTATTGTTCATTGTTTTTCTGTTCTGACAACAATAGCATGCTAAATTGCATTGCACACACTAGCATGTGACTGTTGACATACTAAACAAGCAGTCAGTCTGCTGCACAGAGCCTCTTCAAAGCCCTGGACATGATTTTAGTTTGCCACATTACAAACTGACCCTTTGAAGCTTTATGAGCATCTCAACCACACGCAGAAATTTGGTGATGAGAGTGGACAAGTTAGGAAAACACACGATTTTATCAATAAATAGTGATTAAAATACTTTTTTTATACTTCCTTTTCCACAATTTACATTTAAATAAGAAAAAAACAATTGCATTGTCTTATTTCAGGTGTATATTATCTAATTATCTTATTTTAATAGTAAAATAGTAATTCAGTTGGGAGATTGTCTTATTTACCTGCTCAAATTAAGGGAAAAATACCCTTAATTTAAGAAATGTTTACTTATTTCTAGATCTTTTTTGCAGTGTATGTTTTGTCCCAAGCCATGCAAGAAGTAAACATGTGGAAGAAGGGGCTCTGGTTATAAGAGATGGAAGTTTATAAAGTAGTGGCACCGTCATGCTATGGGATTGTTTTTTCTCTTAGAGGGAACAGGCAAGCTGTTGAGAACTGAGAAGAAAACAACCCTTAAAAAGCTGGAGACTGGGGTTCACAATTTCAGCCTAAAGGCAGCTCTAGACATACAGTTTCAGACACTTGTAGAAGTCTGAAGCATATAATTGTGCTACAATTATACAGTAAAAGTGACAACATGTAATTTAAAAGCTTGAATGTTCGCAAAAGCTTTCAATCCGACTGTGTATCAGCTAATTTGTGAAAAATGGTGGAAGCTTTACAGTAAATATGCAAAATAAGTAATGAAAAAAAAACAGGCCTTGTTGCCTGTTTTTTTTTTTTACATAACATAAAAAACATAAACCAATTTCCTTCAACTTTACAAGTTCACTAGTAAACACACATTTGTGTTGCTCTATGAAAATAAAATATAAAATCAAATATATTAATGGTCGTGGTTGCAAAGTTCAATACTTTTTCCCAGCCTGTGTGGTTTTAAGAACACACCCAGCAGTTTCTGTTATTTTATCACACAGTATGCTGCTTCTTAAACTGATGCAACAGCAAAATATTTCACTTTAGGGGAAAAAAGTACATCAAACCGAGTAAAGGTTATCTCTAATTAAAAATGGTTGCATTAAAGGTACAACCAGCTGACTTATAACAATGTTATTAAGACCCTCCTTTCATTTTGGAGACCTAAGCAGTTATGTCTATAGAAATTCCTTGAGGTGACTTTGCTTCTGCAGGAACGAAATAGTCAAAATAAAATATTCTGTCAAATTAAACCGAATTATATTTCCAGACTAATCAAACCAGAGGTATTCCCCCATATGGCACACACTGCTCCTCCTCATGGTACCCAGACAGCTTCGTCTTACCGATGCAAAGCTGCAGGACATAGGCGTAGTAGGACCACGCCACTATGAGAGCGATGAAGAGGACTGGGATCCAGTAGAGAGCTCTCTGACAGCCGCGTTTGACGCTCCGCGGACCAGACGGTGCCATGGTCTACACCCAGCAGATCATCACCCGTGCGCTTTGGTGTGCAGCTCTGATCCCCCCATCCTCCTCTCCCAGGGCGCGTGTCTTCTTCTCGCAGACCGTCACTGCATCGTAGCTGTGTGGTCAGCCCCAGCGGGGGCTCAGCATCCCAGCCAGTCTCCTCTGATGCCTCTGCCGCACCGCCCCCCCTCCTCTCTCTCTCTGATCGTCCCGTTATGATCCTCCACTAGTGACAGGGCGGTATCAGACGGCTTCCCGCGCGCATACTCACACTTAAGCACACGCACGAGCTCAGACTCAGGTCTGAGAGCCAGCTCCGCCCCCTGTTGTCTCCCGACACGTTGCCATGACGTCCAGGGGATGCTGCAAGCCTGGCACATTTTTCTGCGCGCGCAGGAGATGGGTTCATTGAGTTCAGACAGACCTACACACACACTGGGCCAGTTCGTCCAGCATTAGTGCTGCAGCCACCTCCCATCATGCCTAGCGTTCTCAATGTTTTATCGTTATTATAAAGACTCTCCTTCTTATGGTCAAATGTCACTGCTACAAATCCATCTGCCTCAGCTGTAAAAACAATAGCTGCTGAATATTATCCAAGATGCACAACTTATGCAGCGGCAAGAAGAAGACAAAAGAAAATATTTGAAGTTATGTTTGCAATTTGCTGCATGCCTTACCAAAATTTGCTTTGGAAGGATACAACCCTGGAAACAGCATGTTTATAGTAGAACATAACTATGGCAGTGTCATGCTGTGGAGTTAAAGATGATGATATTTCAGTAAAATTCAATTCAAATCGGTTTATTTATTTAGCACCAATTCACAACATGTATCATCTCAAGGCTCTTTAAAGAGACAATTCAACCAGATCATAAAATCAGACTGGTTCAAAGTTTTCTTTCTAAGGAAAACCAACTGATTGCATCAAGCATGCAGCAACAGTGGAGAGAAAAACTCCCTTTTAACAGGAAGAAACCTCCAGCAGAACCAGGCTCAGTATGCGCAGCCATCTGATGAGAATATAGAAGCTGACATACAAAAGGAACATAGAAACACTGATCTAGAGATACTTTCTATGTTAGAAAAGCTAACAGTAAACTGGCTCCCAGGTAGCCCTGCCTAGGAATCAAACAGTTAAGCAGATGAGCTCTTTGCCAGGTTTCATGTCAAAGAGATAAAAGAGAGCACACTCAGTTAGTCACAGTAAAAGCTGAGCCCGTAGTTATGTCTGGGAGAGAAACAGGACTAAACACTTAAAAAAAAAACAGGCCAACTCTATCATCTATAATGAAAGGCGCTGATGGCAAAAGCCCAGTTGATATCTCTTTAGAGGACAAATTTACAGCCAAACAGTAACAGAGCAGATGAAGCTACTATGCTGATGGTCAGTATCACCCACAGCGATACCTTTTTATATTTAAGCCGGATGTATCATGAAACTGTTGGCCTTTTGGTGTTTTTACTTTATCATCCAAATCTAACAACTTAACAATGGAACATTAACAAAGTTTTAAAGCAACTTTAAAAAAAAAAACAAAATCTTAATACAATTAAACAAAATTAGCAAACCACAACAATTACTGCTTGTTTAGCTGACGCAGATGAGACATTTGATGGTGGAAGACGGTGAGGAGAAAGGCTTTAGAAAGGGTAAAAGAGAGACTTTTAAAAAGGGTATTGATTATTTTACACAAGTATTGTCAATTTTCAATACCAGTGTTGGTATCCATAGTGCATAGTGCCTGAGGATGAAACAGTCTTTAGACCAGATGTTTAGCATTACTTTAAAACATGCCATAGCTTTGAATGTGCCTCCTTCATGCATTGTTGTTTGCTTTTAAGTTTGGAATCAAATTTCTTTTTTTTTCTTCTAATGGGACAATGTTGCCAATTTTGTGGGTGGATGACATGCTGCGGCAAACTGGCAAAATATGCTCTGCAATATTGCTCATCTAAGTCTCATGAAAAATAACAGATCGCTGCAAACTGTTCCAGTTTCTATGCATAAAACGCTGTTGAAGAAAATACTGTAATGTGCTTAGACTGAGAAAATCAACCCTCTCAGAGCCCACACATATACATAAAGAACAGCCAAAAGCATATCAGAATAATTTATAGAAAACAGATTTAGTGCTCTGTTAAGGGTTTTTGCAAATTGCTAACAGGGCACCACAAGCTTTAAGCATGTCTCCACAGAACTGTAAAACACTGCATAAATGTTCACTTAAGAAAACTTCCAAGACATTTATCTGAAATGCCTTTCAGCCTGTGAGAATGGCTTTAAAATGGACCCTGATGGCTCTAATGGATGTTTCCAAAAGGGAGGAAAAAGCTGATCATGTTGTCAGTCTCTCAGAAGATTCAGTCTTTAAAAAAAAAAAATATATATATATTCTTGTTTTTAGTTTTAGCTTTTTCTTTAGTTTTTAAGTGTTATGATCGAAATCTTAACTTTGATTTAATAGGTTTGTTTTAATGTTGATTCATGTTTTTATTCTCACTTTGTAAAACTATAAGATTTTTTTTATGAAATAGGTCAATACAAATAAAAAGTCATATTAATATTATTATTACTATATATAGGCTCCCAATCAGTAGAATTATTAGACAGCATGGAATTAATTTTCACTGTTATGCTGATGATACTTAGCTACACTATATTGCCAAAAGTATTTGCTCACCTGCCTTGACTCACATATGAGCTTAAGTGACATCCCGTTCCTAATCCATAGGGTTCAATATGACGTCGGTCCACCCTTTGCAGCTAGAACAGCTTCAACTCTTCTGGGAAGGCTGTCCACAAGGTTTAGGAGTGTGTTTATGGGAATTTTTGACCATTCTTCCAGAAGCGCATTTGTGAGGTCGCACACTGATGTTGGACGAGAAGGCCTGGCTCTCAGTCTCCGCTCTAATTCATCCCAAAGGTGTTCTATCGGGTTGAGGTCAGGACTCTGTGCAGGCCAGTCAAGTTCATCCACACCAGACTCTGTCATCCATGTCTTTATGGACCTTGCTTTGTGCACTGGTGCACAGTCATGTTGGAAGAGGAAGGGGCCAGCTCCAAACTGTTCCCACAAAGTTGGGAGCATGGAATTGTCCAAAATGTCTTGGTATGCTGAAGCATTCAGAGTTCCTTTCACTGGAACTAAGGGGCCAAGCCCAGCTCCTGAAAAACAACCCCACACCATAATCCCCCCTCCACCAAACTTTACACTTGGCACAATGCAGTCAGACAAGTACCGTTCTCCTGGCAACCGCCAAACCCAGACCCGTCCATCAGATTGCCAGATGGAGAAGCGCGATTCGTCACTCCAGAGAACGCGTCTCCACTGCTCTAGAGTCCAGTGGCGGCGTGCTTTACACCACCGCATCCGACGCTTTGCATTGCACTTGGTGATGTATGGCTTGGATGCAGCTGCTCGACCATGGAAACCCATTCCATGAAGCTCTCTGCGCACTGTTCTTGAGCTAATCTGAAGGCCACATGAAGTTTGGAGGTCTGTAGTGATTGACTCTGCAGAAAGTTGGCGACCTCTTCGCACTATGCGCGTCAGCATCCGCTGACCCCGCTCCGTCAGTTTACGTGGCCTACCACTTCGTGGCTGAGTTGCTGTCGTTCCCAAACACTTCCATTTTCTTATAATACAGCTGACAGTTGACTGTGGAATATTTAGGAGCGAGGAAATTTCACGACTGGATTTGTTGCACAGGTGGCATCCTATCACAGTTCCACGCTGGAATTCACTGAGCTCCTGAGAGCGACCCATTCTTTCACAAATGTTTGTAAAAACAGTCTGCATGCCTAGGTGCTTGAATTTATACACCTGTGGCCATGGAAGTGATTGGAACACCTGATTCCAATAATTTGGATGGGTGAGCAAATACTTTTGGCAATATAGTGTATATCTGTCTATAAATCCAGATGGAGCTAACCTGGATGACTCTTAGCTTTCTGCTCCTGAATGCAGACAAAACAGAAGTTATAGTCTTTGGACCAGAGTCTCTGGAAAAAAAAAAGCTGATTAGCCAGTCACTTCATTTGGATGGGATTCAAATGATCTCAGATAACAAAGTAAAAATTGGTGTTATTTTTGATCAGGACCTGTCATTTAAATCCCATATCAAAGAAGTTTCTAGAATTTCCTTCTTTCATCTGTGCAATATTGCAAAAATTAGAAATCTCCCGTCCAGGGGTGATGCTGAGAAACTAGTCCATGCATTTATTACTTCAAGGCTGGACTATTGTAATTCTTTACTATCAGGAAGTCCACAAACTGTAGTTAAAAGCCTTCAGCTGATCCAAAATGCTGCAGCCAGAGTTCTAATGAAAATTAAAAAGAGATCATATCTCTCCTATCCTGGCTTCTCTTCATTGGCTTCCTGTTAAATCCAGAATAGAATTTAAAATCCTCCTTTTCACATACTAAGCCTTAAGTGGCCAAGCTCCATCTTATATCAGAGATCTGATTGTTCCTTATGTTCCTAACAGAGCACTTTGCTCTTAATCTGCAGGTTTACTAGTGGTTCCTAGAATTTCTAAAAGTAGAATGGGAGGCAGATCTTTTAGTTATCAGCCTCCTCTCCTGTGGAACCAACTACCAGTTTTAGTCCGTGAGGCAGACACCCTGTCTACTTTTAAGGCTAGGCTTAAAACTTTCATTTTTGATAAAGCTTATAGTTAGGGTGGCTCAGGTTATCCTGAGCTATCTCTATAGTTATGCTGCTATAGGCTTAGACTGCTGGAGGACATAGGGACCCCCATTTCATCATTCTGCTTCATTCTATCTCTATTCTCCCACTCTGCAGAATCTGTTAGTTCAATCTCTAACGTTCTGGTCTCTCTGCTTTTCCTCAGAGTAGCTTTGCCTCGTCTGTTCCTGTTTGGCTGTAAAGCCATCCTGAAGAGAAATATCAGCTGTGCTGCTTCCATCAACACCTTTGTTTATAGATGTTGGAGATCGGCCTGTTTTTACAGTGTAGTCCTGTGTCTCTGACTGTGACTGGCTGGATGTGCTCTCTTCATCCTCTGACAGGGGAGCTGGCTCAGAGCTCGTCTACCTGGCTGTGTGTTTCCTGGATGGGGCCGCCTTTTACAGCTGCTTTTTGTGTCTCTGTTTCTGTCTCCTTGAACCCCAGTCGGCCTCGGCAGATGGCCGCTCACACTGAGCCTGGTTCTGCTGGAGGTTTCTTCCTGTTAAAGACTGTTTTTCCTCTCCCTACAAGCATGCTTAGTGTGAGGGATTGCCTTCAAGTCAATGAGTCGATGCAATCAACTGGTTTTCCTGAGATAGAAAACTTTGACTCAATTTGACTGTATGATCTGGTTGAACTGTAAAATCCCTTGAGATGACATGTGTTGTGAACTGGCACTATAGAAATAAACTGAATTGAAATATCATTATTAATATCTTTATCATAATAATAATAATTATTACTAATAGTATTAGTTCTAAAGAAATGTGTGAAATCTGTTTATGCGGTTTCAAGAGCAGAGAAGAGTAGATTGGACCGGGGTTTTTTTACCCAAAATGTTATAGATCTATTTTTTTTTTAGAAAGTTAAATTGTTATTAATTTATTTTACTATTTGTTAGCGACAGTACACATTGATAAACATTTCTGTAAATGTGTCAGTATTAGCTATGAAGCCAGTGTGCAACTGTTGTCCCTGGGCAAGGGGTATAATAATAATAATAACAATACATTTTATTTAACAGCACCTTTCTGGACACTCAAGGTCACTTTACAGAAAATAAAAATAAAAATACAAAAACACAAATACAGAAACATAAAAACAGTTATGGGGAGGGACAAGAGCAATTTATTTACAAACAAGCGAGCTGGAACAGATGGGTTCTGAGTGGTTTTGAATAAGGAGAGAGAGTCAATACTGCAGAGGTCAGGAGGGAGGGAGATCCAGAGCTGCTGAAGGCTCTGCTTCCCATGGTGACAAGTTGAGCTGGGGATACAGTGAGGTGGATGGAGGAGGACGATCTAAGGAAGCGGGAGTAGGTGGCGATGTGAAGGAGGTCTGACAGATATGGAGGAGCAAGGTTATGGATGGCTTTGAAAGAATAAATGCCAACTACAGTTAATTGATGAACTGTTAGGTCTTAGCATTATTTATACCCAGGCTACTTTTAGTGGCGAATAAATCAAAACATTTGAATTTTTTAGATGTGAGATTTATTTTATTTTATTAACATACACATGTTGATGTCTAAAGTCATGTTCCATGTCTGAAAAGCGGCCATAAGATGGGCCAGGACCAGTTCTGCGGGAGCACTGGTCCCGTCGGCCCCCATTGAACCCCTTTTCAAAGACGGATCATGACAATAGACATCAACATGTGAAAGTCGCTAAATAAAAAGAAAAAACACACATATATAATATGCATAACTTTTATAAAGTCTGATGTATTTAGTCCAATGTAATACCCTTATGATATTAAGTTAAAGAGTGTGAAAAACTAAACCAATGATTATGCATAAAACCACACACTCAGTGCCATCGGTTAATACTGGACCCAAACCAGCAGCTCATGGGACATCCCCGAACACTGGGAGGAAATGCAGAGTAAGCTCATAAAAAAAACACACACACACTCACACACAGCCATCAAATTATTATTTTTTTTTTCTTTATATGTACTCATGCAGACTCAGTTCTGGTCAAAAGCTTTTATGCAGGTGACATCAGTATTAATAATGCTATATGCATTTAATCCCTTTCATGCATGAATTATGATAGTATATGTTATGATTTTTTTACCAAGTGTTTTTATTACTCTTTATGAATGAAAAAAACATTTTCATAAATTTTAAAAAAAAAATATACTTTCTTTAGGGAGTTGGTAACATGTCCACTTGGGTGGACAATGCGCATTTGTGCAACTGATATAACCTTGTTTTGTTTTGTTTTAAAGAAAACTATTGTTACTTGATGTCCCCATATTTTTTTTACCTGCAAGGATCGCCTAGAATAGAAGGAATGAGCAGATATTCCTCTCCCTCACAACCCATGTGCTCCTCTGTCGGCCATTTTTTTTTTTTTTTTTGAGGAAAAAAAAGTCACTTGCAAAGGCTGACGAGTAGGTGGCAGTTTGACAAGTGGCAGGATGATACATTAGCGTCCACTGTAGTAACATATGTGCAAATGTGACATTAAAACATGTTCATTTAAGAGAAAACAACCATTTAATAACTGTCCACTGTGGTGACCACTATGCATGAAAGGGTTAAATTTCTTAAAATTTCATGATTATGGGTCACAGATAATTAAAACAAAATTGAGTTACTTATAAGAAAATTGCATAAGATCAACAAAAAAAGAGACACAAATATCAGGCTTCTGAAAAGTTCCCTTTTATGCATGAATTATTGCATTATTGTGGCATCCATCCTCATTAAGTCTTTACTGTAAGGCTTTTGTAGCTTCCAACCATTTTCTGACATAATTCCGCTTGACATAAACCTGCCCTTCAAATTTGACCAAGATTTGGATTAAAGCTATTCCACAAGTTATCCTGCTTAGTCTGATTCAAACCCAGTTTAGTTTCTGTATCCAGGACCACTGTCCTGTTCGAAAACATTCTTCTATCCAAACTTCAACTTTCTAACTGTAGATCTGAGGCGAAGCAGAAGAACTTAGACAACTTTTATTGTAATTTTTTAAACACATCGTATACAAAATGAAATTTCCCTTTGTACAGCTTTCAGACAGTAAATGAGCAGCAGCTTAGCAGTGAAATGAACATTTCCATTTCATAAAGTACAGCAGTGATCAAATGTAAACAGTGTGGGAGAAAAAAACATGGTGCAAAATTGCATTGATATGAAAGTTCAGAGCATTTCAAGATAAAAATATATGCTCCAAATAGGCAGCATTTTGGTTTGGTGTTATCGAGAGCTGTATCAAGCCGCTGCCTACAGGCGCAGCCTTGTTGATATTTTTTGTCAGCTCTTCTCTCTCTCTCTCTTTCACTTTGTGCGATGCATCGGTGGCAACTGGCAGATAAATGTTAGCCTGCCAGTTACAGCATTGCTCTTTTATTTAAAACCTCCTAGCAGGACTCCTCCAAGCATTTTTTGCCAGTGTGGCCCATGAGCTCATTGTTTGTTTCATTTTCCAATTTTTCCCCCAGAGGCCATTCGACTTGTTTCGTCAGAAGCTGCAAACCTATGTTTTGATGAAAGGTTTAAATATTAATTGCTTCTTCTTTCTCCGTCTGCAGCCTTTCATTTCACTGAGACTTTAGAAAAGATCCAAATACTGCTTTAAAATGCTGAAAATGTGAGACTGACACCGATGATGACTGCTGGTACACTTTTAGCCAGGACTGTAAATCATTTCACTGCTTTCTCAAATGTCTGCAGTACTTTTTAACCCAGCATAGAGGACTTTATTCTGCAAGCGCTAACCTATTCATTAGCTTATTTAGCAAGCAGACCTACTTTATCTGCTGTGCAGCTAACAGTGTGGGCTGTAGCCCTCACTTCTGACAATTCCAGGTCAGCCAAAAAAGTGGCCTTTCTCTTGAAGCTCATTGACTTGAGTGTTATTTTTAGCTTTGATTTGGCAGAATAAGTAAACCCGGCTCAGATGACCTGCCGCTGTCTTTCAGCTGAATGCCCATGCAAATCTTGATTCATAGAAGAGCAAATAAAAAAAATATTAAAACTGGTTTGTTATTTATTATACAACATCTACACTGATACCAAGTAACTCCTTCAGAGGAGTGTGAAAAATGATTTCTTCTGTCTTTGTTTGTACACTGAAAAAAAGTGGGAGGAAATGATTACCTTGCTGGATTAATCATTTAAAGATAAAAACGAGCCTTTGGTAAGTGTCAGCACCCACAAGACCCAGGTTTTCATGCAATTAATAACGTTAATGATTTTCCTTCAGGCTCAAACAGATCACTTATTCTTTCATGCTCCTGCCAATAGATATGCTGGGCACAAAGAGGACTGCCTCAGCTCCTTCAGGCTTATGAGCTGGTGAAAACAGCTCGAAAACAGTGATCATGTGTGCAACAAAGCCAGAAAGCATCACCTTGTGGGAGTCAGAGAACACAAGGACAGAGAGTACAAAACACGGGAATTTAGGACGTCAGTTTTATTCAGTCATAGTGAACAGTGTAACAGTCAAGTCCAGAATTTAAAGGAACGAGGTAGAGTCACTAATGAGAGCATCCAATCATCTCAGATAGTTAAATACTCTGGAGGACAGCGTAGTGTTTAACATGATCTATTCAGTGTTTCCTCCTCAGAAACATGACCTGAACTGTTCCTCTGAATCCAAGGCTAATCTAAGAGAGAAGTGAGTGAGTGCATGGCTTTGCTACATGAGGAAAGAGTTCAGCCTTGCTAACACGTCTCCATATCAGCTAAGAAATGATTAACAGTGTGAGCTGCCTGCAGTTAAACAGTGAATGAGCGAGTGTGTTCAGGTCCGCTTCCTCTGGAGGATTCCAGCTGCGCCACTTTGGAGGGAAAACATGGAGGGGGTGCAAGACGACTGAAGGACATGGCAGAACCTGCTTCTAAAACAGAACCTGGTTCTAAACAGAACCTGGTTTTAAAACAGAGCCTGGTTCCAAAACAGAGCCTGGTTTAAAACAGAACCTGGTTCTAAACAGAACCTGGTTCTAAACCAGAACCTCGTTCTAAAACAGAACATGGTTCTAAAACAGAACCTAGTTCTAAACAGAACCAAGTTCTAAACAGAACCTGGTTCCAAAACAGAACCTGGTTCTAAACCAGAACCTGACTCTAAACAGAACCTGGTTCTATACAGAACCTGGTTCTAAACAGAACCTGGTTCCAAAACAGAACCTGGTTCTAAACCAGAACCTGGTTCTAAAACAGAGCCTGGTTCCAAAACAGAGCCTAATTCTAAAATAGAGCCTGGTTCTAAACCAGAACCTGGTTCTAAAACAGAGCCTTGTCTAAAACAAAACCTGGTTCTAAACAGAACCTGGTTCAAAACAGAGTCTGGTTCTTAAAGGGCCTGGTTCTAAAACAGAACCTGGCTCTAAACAGAACCTGGTTCTACAAAGAGCCTGGTTTTAAAACAAAAACTGGTTCAAAACAGAGCCTGGTTCTAAAACAGAGCCTGTCTCTAAACCAGAACCTGGCTCTAAACAGAACCTGGTTCTAAAACAGAACCTGGTTCAAAACAGAATCTGGTTCTAAATCAGAACCTCGTTCTAAAACAGAACCTTGTTCTAAAACAGAACCTGGTTCTAAAAAAGAAGCTGGTTCTAAAAAGAACCTGGTTCTACACCGGAGCCTGTTTTTAAAACAGAAACTGGTTCTAAACCAGAACCTGGTTCTAAAACAGAACCTGGTTGAGAACAGAATCTGGTTTTAAAACAGAACCTGGTTCAAAACAGAACCCGGTTGAGAACAGAACCTGGTTCAAAACAGAACCTCGTTCTAAACCAGAACTTGGTTCTCAAACAGAACCTGGTTCAAAACAGAACCTGGTTGGGAACAGAACCTGGTTCTCAAACAGAACCTGGTTCAAAACAGAACCTCATTCTAAGACAAAACCAGGTTGGGAAGAAAACTGACGAAGACAAGCTAGTAAAGCAAGCAGCATATTTTTAGATGCAGAGTTACTGTTTGACTATTTTTTTATATGAATAAATTGTTTTCATAAATATTTTTAATTGAATAAATATGGGGCTAAAGGGTTTATTATGTTCATTCACACATTTACATACTCCAAAAAGAGCTAATTAGAATCTAGTTTAGTTTTGAGAATGAAGTGAAGCTTCCTGTAACGCTGGCTGCATCCTGGTAGCGTTACATCCTGTTCTTTCTTTGGTTTTTCTCAAAGCTCTTATCAGAGCTCTGAGGTTCAGCAGCATGCATTAGCTCCGGACAGGGAGGAAAGAAGAGGCACAACTCCTCCACACCGTTAGACATGCAGCAGCGTCTGGGGCTTCACCTGGAGACGAAACAAAGACAGTTACATCCTCAGGCAGCTTCAGACTCACTGATACAATTTGTTTTTTTTTGTGCTTGTATGACTACTTGTTCTGAAATTTCCAGATGTGAAGACCAGTTTGCTGAACCTCTCACTGAAAATTGTGACATTATTGTTTTTTAAAGATTTTTCTTCCTTTATTTAATAAAGGTCAAGTTAAATAATATTTATTTTCATAAAGAAATATTTTGAAATTTTAAATTTTGAAGAAAAAAAAAATTTAATAACCACATAATTAAAAACAAAACCAAACCGTGGGTTGATATTTGTTAAGCATTTAAAATGATGAGAATAATGTAATCAGTAGAATTTTCATTTTTTTCAGCAATGTTGCTTTGAGTTTTTAAAAAGAATGGTAAATGCTGTGGCTGTTATTTTTACTAAGGTCAATATTACACTATTTATAAATATATTATAATTTATTTTATAACCTGCATCAGATATCAATGAAGTTGAGATTTCAATCCCCTTTAGGGTGATAGCAGATGTTTAGGTTGGAGAAAACCAAGATCTATTTACCATCCTTTAAAATAAAACAAAAATGGCACGAAACCCCCAGAAACTTAAACAACTTAGCCATTACATATTTGCTTAACAAATACATATTTGCTAAAAGAAACTTGGATATTCTCTGAGTTTAAAAAGTCACAAATTGGTCTAAAAAATATATATTTAATTAATAATTAAAAGCGTACATTTCTGATATTAAACTAAGAAACTAACATCAGAGATTTGCAGACTTTAAGTGTTTATAAATAACAACTGAAGTTGTCTGACATGGTGAAGTCAAACACTCATGATAAAGAAAAAATCCCTTGAAGGTTAAAGTGGCACATTTAGGAGCATCCAGGCTATTTTCCTGCATCAGAACGCCATGTTATAGCTGCTTACTTACTGCCCCAGGCTTGTATCCGGCATTTATAGCATACTAACATCTGACTAATAAAAACTCTTAGTTTAAATACTATAAAGTTTTGCCTTTTTGTGGAAATGTACTTCTCTTCTTACATCTAAAGAATCCCTAATATTCTGTCGTAGGTCCATCAGCAGTGTGGCTACATAACATGGACAGTCCTTTAAAGATGCAGTAGATCTTTTTTGACGCATTTTCTACCATGTGGCTTAAAGATCTCCCCACAGCCGCTTAGCAAGCAGTGAAATAGAAGGTCTGGAAGTGAAACTAAAATAAATGGTCCCCGCTACAGTGAGAAATCGATGAATAACCCCAACCAATCACAAAAGACGGTCCGATGTACACGATTGGTTCTTGACATGTCAATCATGGTTGTCTGCTTTTCCCTCCCCCCTGTGTGCGACACATGAACGAATCGACCCCCCAATGCTCGTGCAGGACGCCATGGCTGGAAGCTAGCCATTGTTATGCTACGTTCACACCTAAAGCAGCAAGCGCAACAAAAACTCGCGTGCTGCTTAATTTTTGATGCTTCTACCAGTTTAGTTCTGATGCACGGCTGAATCATCTTTGCTGCTCTAGTGCGCGGTGGAAAAAGTGGATCTGATGCGCATTGGGCAGAGCTACCCTATCCTCCTTTTGCCTGTAACAATGGAAGCTATATATGCTGTTATCAGGGGATAAAAAGTAATTTGAATTTATTTTGACGTGAGAAAGTTCACCTAAAAAAAAAACATTGTCAGTGCAGTTAGTTCATTCAGATTTCCATCCTGCCTTCAAATATTATTTCAGTCAGGAGCCGTACAGTTCCCCCGTACACAAGGAATCCCATTTAACAGCAGCCTATTGCCCAGTCGCCTCACCTTTTGCCGCGGCGGCTGGAAAGCATTTTTAATGTATGTAATCCAAAATGCAGGCACCAGGATAATAAAAGTGAACATGTTTTCCCGGCAGATTTCGGCATTTTTAGTTAATTTAGGCGTTAATAAACTGTTACAGAGGAGTGATCATAGCACTCTGCATCATCAGTGCTGCCTGTTTCCCTGCCAGCTCCCAGATCAGCGATGCGCTGCATCAGCTGCTCAGACGCGCTGCAGACAGCATGCGCGTTCATGTGTTTTGAAGGCGTGGTTTTGAGGGATTGTATGGAGGGAGAGGCATGGTTATGTATGTTCAAAAATATAGCTTGCTGGAACAGTTTCTCCAAGATCTCCTACAGCACCTTTAAAGCAGTGATTCCAAACCACGGGTGCTAGTACCCCTAGTGGTCCGCCAATGCATTGCAGGGGGTATGTGAAAACATGTTATATTTTATTTCCCCGATAAAAAAATACAATAATACATATATATGTTTTTTTTTTGTTTTTTTTTTTATGTAACAAAAATTTAATTTCTGAGCATTAAATGTTCAAATTAAGGAAATTAAATATTTTTCATTTTATAATCAGTTGTGTTATAATCCGTTGTTTGGGAATCACTGCTTTAAAGCATCCTTTAATTACATTTAAGGTAACATTATCATTTGTTCTTAATCTCCATGGTGACAATGAAAACTGTAATCTCTGCTTATTTTTAATTTATCTGCAGACCCTGAAGGTTTTAAAACGGACTGATGCTGCCACAGAACAAACCTGCATCTTTGATATACAGCATATGTTGTTTGTTATCTACACTGAAGGCATATTTTAATTTTACCAGAATCTCTCCTCTGACTGAAAGTGATATTAAAATATTGCATTGACACAACAGGAGTCTGGACTGGAATCTCTTCAGCAAGCTACAAATTTAGGGGGTTGGCAAGGAGGCTTTTCTGCTTTAAGATTAAATAGTCAAAAAATAATTTGGATTTGTTTTACACACTTTTCTTTTTTATAAATACCTACTGATCTTTTCTCATTTTGCAGAAAAACCAGGGATTTTCATGATGAGTCAGATTCGTTGTAGATTATGGCAGGTGTTGCATAAAGCAGAACTAAAGCAAAAGGTGTTTGCTTCTAAGCTGAGCCGTACAAAATCTCACATTCAAGTCTTAAAGGAATTTGCCTTGATCTCATTTATGTACGTTACAAAAACCTGCTGTTTTATCATCAATACACACGAACCTTGTTGAGCCGCCGTCTTCAAACTGGATTTTCATCAACCTCTTCCCCATTCCTGATTACTGAGGGTGATCATTAAGCTTTGAAACACTTATACAGCTTTAAACCAGGCCGCTTGCTGCTCATGTATGCAGACCTAAGCCGGTGTCCGATGGCAGTTGTTCAGGCGTTAATATTACAGTGTAACTTAATGCTTCAGGCGCTGAGAGGGTGGGCATCAGACATCTCTAAACTATACTCAAGACTACAGACTTTAAAATATATTTTAAACAAACTATTCTTATGTGGATTATTAAATTGATCTATTTATGCTTTATTTGAAAAAATGTCTAAAAAAAGTGAGGACTTTTTCTTACCTATTTTCTTGATAACTCCTTCTTCATGCAGGATTTGAAAGAGATGAACTTTTCCTCCGCTTTAACACCCTGAGAATGTGAGAGAAAAGCATGAGCAATTGCTGCTTCCCAAGAAACGATGACCTGCTGTCCCAACAGGTGGCAGTATAACCTCAGATCAACACCTAACCAGCAGCGGTGTGATCCAGGAACAAACACAGAGGAGGGAGGAGAGCGACCTGAAGGATGCCTCACCCCGTCTCCACGGTGCAAACGGTCCTTCATGACTCCAATGAACTCCTTGTGGCTGAGTTTACCATCTTGATCCTCGTCGAAGATCTTAAAGACAGTGTTGACCAAGTGGGGGCTCAGTTTGATTCCAGTGGCGACATAAACGGCCCTGGTGAACTCGTCTGGGAGAGAGAGGGATGCAAAACATTAAAAACAACAAACCCATCAAAAACAGTAGAGCTTTATTTAGAGACGCAGAGCAACATTACAAAGCCTTTAGATTTAATAAACTATTTCAAATTGGGACAACTATAAAAATAAATCAAAGGATGTAAATCGAACTAACTCAATAATTACTCATGTGGACAGTTCAGCCTATCTAAGCAGATTACCAGCTGTTTTCCTTTAACACTTTGCTGCTAAAACTCAGATTTTATTGTCTAATCATAATGATCAGATTTAGATCCATCCTAGCTTCTTGTTCCTGACTGATGAGCATCTTATTCTCTTCTTTTCCAAAATGTGATGTGTTCTCTAAACAAAAGGCCCCACTAATGCTTTAGATGACGCCTCTTACATTTATAGCTATAACTAAAAGGTTCAAGTAGACTAATTCTAAGTCTTAGAGGTTTTAAGATATTTTGGAGAATCTCTCTGTGGTAAAAGTAAATTAATAAAACATTTGACACATTTCTGAGAATTCATGATTTTTATGGTTTTCCCTTGTAAATGGTTGCTCTGTCAAGCTGGAAAATTCATTGTTTATTACCAAATAAGTCCTTCATTGTTGTAAATCGTTATTTATTTGTGGCAGTACTTTTGTGCTAACCTGGATGACCCAGGGCAAAGCCTCCACCTTCCAAGTGGCGGGGTTCATGTGAGTAAATGAGCTCCCCTCCAGTCTAATCCTGTTACCTGCTGGAGAAAGTTAATGGTTCCTGCATGTCTTTCTAAAGCCTCCACCTAACCCCATGCCACCGCCCATTTCAAAGCTTGCTCTGCACCGGTGGCAATCCCATTCTTGGGAACGCTGAAGCCTTATTCCTGTTTGTCTCCTGCTAGTAGCTTATCTGAGTCCCCTCTTTTAAGCGGCAATATTGCTGTTCTGATGCACAGCAATGGTGTTTCAGCGGCTGTTATCTTGGAGACAGCTGCCGTTAACCAAGAAAAAAGGATTTCTAACACCTTTCCTTATACAGCATTCATCCTGCTCTTACACTCAGTCATATATAGAGAAATAATTTCTTCTTTGCAATCAACTGCTTTTCATTTGTTTGTTTTTTCTTTAAGAAACTGAAGGAGTTTAGTTGAACTAATAAAATCTAAAATTTAGTTTGACTTAAAAAGTTATCTGTCCCCATTTTAGGTATCTTCAGAAATACAAAACTTTTTGCTGTTTCACATCACTTCTGGCAATATTCCATAAAAGAAAGAGATGAAGCTGTTGCTATAATGAAGATATTTGTGTAAAGATGTGGATCCTACCTGGTTAAACTATAGCTGTAATTATAGAATGATCAATCAGTCTGATCAACTGCTGCAGCAGCTATATGTGGACAAGGAAACTCCCAGCTTTAGAAGCTGTTTTGCAGCTTGAATTAAAAGGAAATGATGCTTTGAACCTTTACCTTGACCAACAGAGCGGTGAGCGAAGTTATACATCTTCATGGCGATGGCGAAATCCTCCAAGTTGTTCAGGAACTGGAAGAATGATCTGAACTCCTCGAAGCTGATCCCCTAGAAAACAAAGAGCTGTGAAATCAAACCATGCTTTTTATCCAGGATTCAGATGTTGGAGCAGGCGAGCTTCGTGTGTCAACACTCCTGCAAGAGGACGGTGCTAAAATTCACACAAAACCTAATCGCTCTCCTTTCATCTTTCCAAAGGAATCCCTCAGTGTGTGTGGGGAGCTTGAGGCCGTCAGATAGATAACACACCCAAACAGACAAAGTATACATTGCTGAATTTTCCCTGCGCCGTATGGACACGCCGGGCTGTCAGCTCGCAGACCTTTTCTAAAGCAGATTAACCTGATACTTGAGTAAACAAAAACAAAAGTGATGAATCCCCCAAACATCTCAGGCTTGGCTGATGACTCAAACACTGAGCCCATTGATGTCCACTCAACCATCCTGCAGCTACTAGCTGTTTCTGCAGCCGGGGGGGTGGGGGCCCCCCACCCGGACCCAACAGAAACACACACAGCGGCTGACAAATGGAGTAATGACTAATCTGTGACGCTTTGCTGTTCCAACAATGCAGGAAACATAAAATATCGCTTAGCGTAATGATGAGACCCACTTGATTATCAATAGAGATCTAGCAACAGGCTCCTCATGGGGCTGAGGAGCTGCCGGCACCTTTTCACGCAGGTCAGCGTGCGGAGAGGAAAAAACACATTAGAGCTCGAAATGAGGCTGCTTCACTCAGCAGCCAATTCACATTACCCAAAGAAACTTCCAGAAAAAAAAAAAAAATGAAGGGAGAAAATGAAACAAATGTGTCTGAGGTAGGCCCGGGGGGATATAAACATCTTATTACGATATCGGATGATGATATTAAGAAAAATAAAATATACTTCTTCACAGCATTTCTTAGGCCCACAAGAAGAGCGATGATGAATAAACACATTGTCCTCAGGATACCAGGCATATAACGATGCATAATCTATATCCTTATGCATCTCTTAATAACCGCATTTAATCATAGTCTTCAAATTGATCAGAAAAATTATTACAGAAAAAGAAGAAAAATGGTTATTGAATAAATAGTAATCATTGATTTCAATTTATTGTTTAGACAATAAATTTAAACAAATGCACACTCCTACTCTGAGGATAGTTAGAGGTTCCTAGAAATAAAATAAAAACTTTATTTAAAGCCTTGTTTATGGTAGGGTTCATCAGCTGTGAGAGAAAGCTACAATAATATTAAAAATCTAATACTTTGCTAATATAAATACTTTTTTTTTGGTCTTTTACCTTCCTTAGCTACACTATTACCTCAAAAACATTTACAGGACAGGCTGCTTTGCTGCAATACACAACAATATATATTAATTGAAGAACTCCTGCGTTTTTAAAAATAACCCATAGCACTCAGTTTGATAGAGAGAATTAGCTCACATTTTATTAGTAAAGTCTATCTGATTTAATAGCTATAAAACCCCAACAGAAATTAGGTAACGTTTACTCAAACTTACAAACTTTAAATACAGGAAGGCATTAGCCTGGAATCGAACCAATGATCGTTGTTATTTAAAGCAGCAGTGCTATAAACTAAACCATTGTCTAGTTCACTTTCCTGACTTTTCACACCGTGCAGACAACAAGGCTGCACAATTAGTCTGATTGAAATTACTGTTTTCAAACAGAAAAATAAAAAAAATGCAATAATTATCATTTATATACGGTTAGATTTAAACAACTAACAACACATAATTTTCTTGCTCGAAGGTTCATTTGCCGTCTAATCTGTAGAGGTGATTTTTAACTGATTTTCAAAGGATTGCACTTAACATCCACCAAAATCGTTTCTTAGAGTGGTCTAATGATGATCATTGGTGGGGTGAGAGCCTATATCTGTAAATAAGCAGCTCAGGAAACCTTGCAGAGTTGATCCTAAAATGTGAGGCATCACTTAGATTGAGAACAAACAGGACAGGATGCTGATCACATGATCCTACCTCCTGAGTTTAGAGAACCAGTTCAACTTCCCTCGCTGCTTTTGCAAACTCATGAGCATTTGTTGGACCGACATAAATAGTTGTTAAAGTGAGGAGGATTTGTCCCCTTGGAAGTAAAGGCTGTAGCGCCCCGGGGGCCTCCTCATCGGTTCTTTTCCTGGGAGCAAGTTATTTACTACTCTTAACTCAAACTCGGTAAAACCATATAAAAAAGGACTATAAAAACAGGAGTAAAAAAGTAACAGAGTTTATTCCAGATCAGGTCGTTACAGGACAGAGAAAAATGCTTAGAGCTATGCACAGCTGTGGTCTCAAAAATCACGTCCGCAAGCGTCCGGCAAAGTTTGAGCCCCGAACAACGTCATCTCCTGCTTCTTATAACTTCTGAGTCTGTGTTGCATCATGTGGATGCTTAGCTGTCCGTATCAGAAACTGACACGCCATCCATGTCTTGACCTCCATGCAGGTTGCCTCTCTGTCTCAGGGTTACAGATACAGTAGCTCTCCTATCAGACCGGCTCCAAGATGTGCCCATATCCTGTGTATTCTTAAAGACACGAAGGCTGTCCTGATTAGATGACCTCCGTACACACCGCGACATCCACAATGTGAAGGAAGGCCTTCTGCTCTGTCTAATCTGACTAACAAAATAACAATGCACATTATGTATAAATAATAAAACCTAACATAGTGCATAATGATGAAGCAGAAGAAGAATTGTTTAACAGATTAAGCTGCAAGTCTTTCAGGTTTTGTCTCTTAATATTTGCATACTTAGACAATGAAATTATGCCCATCGTAAGCTCAGTCAGATTTTTAAAAGCGGTTTTCAGCTCTTGCCTCAGATTGCTTTTGATTTGGGTCTGGACCTTGATGTAATTGTTTTAACATTCACAGCAAAATGTGTTCAATTGTGTTAAATTTCCAGTGTCACCATTGAAAATGATGTGTTAATTCAACACTTGTTTAGTCTAATTTAACAGTATAGTGGAGGAAGTTCTTTTTCCTGGATGGATCATTTAAATAAGTGGTCCTCCTAATTGTCAATCATTCTGGTGATATGTTTAGGTAAGGCAATACAACATTCTTACCCGTAGATAGCCATCTTTTTCTGCGCATGCCCACTTTCAGGTGTGTATGTGTGGTGAGCTACGGTTTCAGCCAGTCATTGAAGCTCGCCTTTCTCACCATGATTCGTTGTTGTACATACATTTTCACTGACCGGTGGTGAGTCTGACATTATGGAAAAATTACAAATCTTTTGGAAAGTAAGCTTTTATGAGGAATGCAAACAGCATCTTTTAAACAAAGCGTGCACAAGGAGAAATAGGTTGTGCATGCTCTTGCATGCGTTTAATAGATGTTCCCTCTCCAGGTAAAGAATTGTGCATGTACTTTTTTTTTATTGGAGAGGGTTCTTTTCAAAAATTAGGCAAAATCTTCCCCTATACATTTAAACAGTCAAGAGTTAGTTCCTCCAAAGGGTCTTCTCTTCAAAGATTCAGAATACATGTTGCTAAATTACACGTACAATGCTTTTTTAGTACATGGTCGTGTTGGGGAGGATCTGCAAAGATTACTGCGTAAATGTAAACATGTGCAAAACAATTTGGTTCAACCTATTAAAATTAGCAGATTGTGGGTTCTAGAGAAAGCTGAGAAAGATTTGTAAAATAAAGATGAGGTTCAAAGCCATGTAACTGGAGGTCATAAACATAATGAATAAAACATAAGTATTGACAAAATAGGAAACCTATTGTTAAATCATATTTATGAAGCACCTTATGTTGGTAGCCTAGTGGAAAGTTGAACATGAAATAATGAAAAATGAGAAAGCCATCCTTGTTGATTAACTCCCACCCATCCCTGTTGCGAGGAGTTAGAAATGCACTGTTGTCTGTCATTGGACCAATGCCTGCTTCTTGGCAACGAGGACTGGAGATATTTTTAAGTGCCAGTTTGCACCTGACACTCAGAAGTACTAAAATAGGCACAAAACCTGCAGCTACAGCTGAGTTTTAACTCTGGAATTTGGCACGTAGAAAATATTTACCTTTCCATATCTTCCACTCATGAATTTCAAAAGTTTGTTCAATAGAATATAATCTGCATATTGAAGGGGGCAGACATGCAAAATAAGAGTAAGCTATCTGCTGAGCTGCAAACATAATCTGCTCTGTGTAGACATATTTGCGCTCGTTTTAAGATGCGCAAACCTTCTGAAGATGTTATTAAGCTGCAGAAGCAATTTTGGCTTGGATTCTGACCAAGTGGACTTCGGAGTTGCAGGATGCAGGAGTTGGCCCTGCAATTGGAGGGTCACTGGTTGCAGTGAGGGTTGGGCAACATTTTATCAAATTGCCTGCTGTTGATGGTAGGGGGTGAGTAGCACCTGTGTACGGCAGCCTTGTTTCTATCAGTGTGCCCCATGCCAGCTGTGGCTACATGCCACGGTGAATGATTTAACTGCTACTGTAGTGTTTAAATTCAACGCTAATGTTTGGCGTCAACTTTTGAAACAAGACACTACCGTTATATAAAGTCCACCCTGTTGTTTTACCTCTTCCTAAGGGGTTAACCGATTGGCACTTTCATAATGAAACTGATTTGATCTGCTTTGGTCAAATATAGACACTTTAAAAGTGTTGAACAGATTTTTTCCAAAAAATAAAACAGTTGTAACTGGAGCTTTAGTTGAAAGAGGTATATCTTGAGTCAATATTAGAGAGAGAGTCCAAATATTATGTTTTTGAATGGAAATATCTTCCTTTTAGAGAAATAATTCCTGTTTTATTAACTGTATAATATGTTTTTCTTTCAAAATTTCCCAATTGTTTGTTATTTTTAAGTCCCTGCAGGAAGGACAACCTTTGCTGCGATTTCTTTCCAGCAGCATCCTAGGCAGCAGTTGTTTTTAGGAAGCTGAGGACATGCAGGTAGGTTTATACTCATGCCAGGATTATTCAACAGTGTTTGGTCTGATGTTCAAAGTCAAAGACGAGTGTTTGATAACCTACACCTGAACCAACATCTTTAATGTCTTCTAACAAACTGACGGACTCTTAAGACCTTAATTTGGTTGCACTTGATATTATCTAAAGGAGCTGGAGTGCCACATTTTCTCTAAACTTCACAATTTTGTGTTGGTCTGTTACATTGAATCCCATTAAAATATCTGGAAATGTACATTTGTAATGTAACAAAACTCATAGAAACCTCAAAGCCCTCGATAGCTGGCCATAAAACTAAGCTGGAGATCATTTTTTTCAGGTATTTTTAGCTTTATTGGCTTATATTAGCTTATATTCTAGTGAACTGAAAGGTCCAGTGCTCTCCTGGTAGTTTAAATTAATCAACTTTCATTATTTTAGCTTCTTGTTTTGATAAGGAATAGCAAAGCAAGTCTTATGAGAGGGAAAAAAAGCTCACCTTATCATCTGGTATACAGTGGCGTACATTCTCCATGTACCCGCCCACATCGTCCACATTTGTGTAGCGAAGAAGAATGCGAGCAAAGTCTTCTTCACTGATGGTGGGCATGCCTTTGGAGTAAGAGAGGAACTCTATCTCAAGCATTTCTGTCTGCAGGTTGTCCGTGAACCTGAATGAGTTGGACGGAAAAAAATACTTTACCCAACAAATAAAAAAATTGGATTTATTCAATCAAAGCCATCATTAACACAGAAGGTTCATTTTTAACATACTTGTAGAAATCTTCAAATTTCAACTCAGCTTTGCCTTTTTTTCCAAAGAAATGGACAAGCAGCGTGGTCTCTGTTTTCTCATCCACATGCTACAAGAGGGAACAGAAACTGTTGGCTATTTACAGATCTAAAGACAAAATATTATATACTTTCATTCTTAAAAATACAGCAAAACACCTCAGCTTTAAGTAAAATTAACAGCTCTCACGTGGCAATACGGAGTTATTATGTAACCATGCAGATAGCTTTAAAGCAAGGCATGTTGGGTTGTGAATGACATAGTTAATAATCCAGAAATCAGTCACCCGGAGCATTATTTTTTGACGTCTGCATGGTCCAAACACATGCCGTGCAATAGACTGAGTAAACATGCCACGCCCAATGTAGGAGCTGCTATTTCTAAGAGAAAAAAAAACACATCACCTGCCTTCAATTTTAACCTTTACTAACAGAACAGAAACATACAGTAGTCCAGGTTCTACAAATGCTGTATTTGTACTGGTCATTTAATACTTAAAAAGTCACCAGCTACCTCCATGAGATCAGAAAACAGAGCTTGAGTCGTGCCGTGCCTGAGAACATCCCACATGCCTGGGTTCCCCCCATGCTGGACGTCTTTTTTACGAACCTGTGACCGCAGTTATAGCACAGCAGGTTAATAGGACAAAATGCGTCAGGTACAAGTTACCACTTTTGAATAGGTTACAAATGGGAAAGGACAAAGTGAGAAGCTGCAGAGCAGACATGCTAGTTGACATATTCATATGTTAGCACTACAATCTGGAACCCTTTTTTGGGATTTTAAAGGGATTTACTGAAAGAAAAACTGAATAAAAGGGACGGCAAAAACGATCTAGAAATAGCTCAACATTTCTTAAATCAAGTGTATTTACCCTTAATTTGAGTGGGTAAATATCATGATTTGCCAAATGGATTTAGTAGTTTTACTCCTAAAATAAGATAATTAGAAAATATGCACTTAAAATAAGAAAATACTGTTGTTTTTTCTTATTTTAAATGTAAATTATCTTGTTCCATTGGCAAAGTGTCTCACTTCCTCAATTCAAGAAAAATGCACTTATTTTAAAGGCACACAGCGGACTTTATGACCTAAAGAGTTACCAAATGAGTTATTTTATTCCTCAAGCCACTATACGGCGCTTGACACTATTGATGCTACGAGCGCGGCTCCCCTCTTGAAATACAGACTATGTAAGCTGGGAGAAGACGCACCATCATTGGCCAGGTAATGTGACCTGGAAGAACGTACTGAATATAGAATATCAATATAGAACAGAATTCAACTTTATTTTCATTACACTGTCACAGTAAAAAGCAATTAATTCTCTGCATTTAACCCATCCCCCTTGGGGAGCAGTGGGCTGCAGTGTCGGGTCAAGGGTCTTGCTCAGGGACCCAGAGGCAGTCGTAGGAGTGGGGCTAGAACTCAGAACCTCTTGGACCCAAGAACAATGGCCTAACCACTAGGCCACCACTCTTCCAATACCCCCAATATCGTCATGGAGCTAAGGCTTTTGCTCTATTATTTTTCCGCCTCTTGACAACTGGTCATGGCTGAGGCAAGGAAAAACTTTTAAATTCCTGAGGATGCTTAAGAGAGAAACTGAGAAAAGGATTGTACACAAGGAAAAACAAGAGTCGGAAAGGATGTTGTTTATTGGCGCAGGCTGAAAGAAGAAGCCAGGCTTTAAACCGATTGTCTTTTCTCAACTTTATTATTAGACTGGTAAGTTAACACTTTGCTCCTAGTATACAGACATATATCTTTGTTATTATTTTAGATGTTTAGTAGAAGCAAAATACTGGCAGTTATAGGTCTAGCACCCCTAGTGGCCAAAAGTTACACAGTGTGCCTTCAAGAAAACTGATTTATTTAGATGTTTTCCAGTGTGTGAATTCTTCTCATCTGTACTTTAATACGCCACAATTATCCGATCAAAGCATCTAAATGGTTTAAATGGTCAACAAACATGATGCTCCCAGCACCGTGTTTCACTGCACCTACAGTACATATGTGGTGTTTTTAAATTTCCCCCCCACACAGTGCTATCTGGAGTAAGATAGCCATATTTATTCTGATTTTTATTCATTAAGGTATGAAAAACCTCTTCAGAATTATCCACACTTTGTTAGTAAGTGACATGAAATCCCAACAAGATATGAAATCATTGAAGTCTGTAGCTCTCATGTACCAAAACTTAAAAAATCCACAAGCTAAGATTAATTTACTGAGGGATCCGTCTTCGGAGAACACAGGCAGAATAGAGGGGTGAGCTTTGTGAGAAGCATGCAGCAGCAGTATGGGCCTGACACGAGCCTGGTCTGCAGCCATGCATGCAGCCTTTTGGCCAGACACTGCTGCCTGAGTAACATGTGTCCGCTAGGCCTGAGCGAGGCTTTGTTTAAGGCATCCCTATACCTGAAAGCAGCCTAATGTCATGATCTAAAGCAGAGCTCCAAAGTAAATGCAGGTTATGGAAACCTTTCCGTTTAGAATGTTGTTGTGAAACATTGTTTTTGGTCTTTTGTCTGTTCCACATCTGCTGTTTGATGCAACATAAAAGCAAGAAGCCACTATTTTCCTCAATGAAGTCATGCTTTTCATGGGAAATGACCCAATCATTATTGTTATTACAGTTTACTCACTGTAAAACACAACCGCTGAAAATAATTTGGCTGTTATTGTTATGCTCTATAGTCGTCCGTATCGCAGGATATCTGTTTTCTGAGCGAGAAAAACTATGATTTCAACACCGTAAACCATGTGTTTCTTCGTTGCTTCCAAGCAAAGTCCTGAGATTTCAACATGTGTGCACAAGAAAGCAGAGCAGCCAGCTGCTGCTGACACCTCATCGCTCGCTTGATCTCATAATTAATTATATTTATGAATCTTGTTTGGATTTTCATGTCTCAAAGTCTGAGGCGCAGTGTGAGACAGCTGATTAAACAGCTCTTCCTCCGTGCCTCGCTGCGTTCTTTAACAGAGAGAGAGATTTATGACAAAATCCAGCAACTAATTATGGAACAACACACTTCATTGCCCCGTGTTGCCCCCCTGCCCCTCATCTGAACAGATCCTGAAACAGTTGTAATTAGAATATGCTGGGGGAAAACCCAACCGCAGCACCGGAGGCAGGGTCTGTCGCAGTATGTGTTCTTAAGAGCCTGACTGAAGCCTGGAAAAGTGCCTATACTAGAGCTTCTTCTAACTTACTGGTAACTTCATGGTCAAACCCATCTGAAAAGGTAACCTGAGCCTGAATACCGCTCCATAAGACACTGTAACGATGAAGCATGTGGGTCCAGACAGAAAGCTTGTCAGTCTTCAGCTGGGAGCTTTCTGAAGTGGATTCTGTTGCCCAACCTCGTCAAAAGGTGAGCGCATAAATCACCTTCATTGTATCTGCTACACAAACACATACATATGTTAGATACCACTGAAGTAAAGGGTGGTGTGTATTTGAATTTCAACAAATTAAGTGAAGATTATCTTGTTTTAACCCCCACAGAGACCAAGAACTGGCTTCTATTGCTTGTTTGGGTCGGTTATGCATAAAAAAAAACATGCAACAAGCAGAACAGTTTAATGTCCTCAACGGGAAAAGAACAATACGTACATTGTGTGTCTGGGATTGGTGATGACCATAAAGCTGCAGGCTCTAAAACACAAACAGAAGAAAAAAAGACCTTTGCTTCAACAAACAATATATTAATCTCATATAAAAGAAAACGACATGAGTTTTCAAAAGCAGACTCATTTAATACGGCTTTCAGTGTGATCCAAGATAAAGTCAGGGTCTTAGATTGATGAATCCACTCTGACCTTTTTATGTTGTCTCCTGACATTATGTTCCCAAATCTAGAGTGGCCTTTCTAATGATCTTTTTGATACTCATACGGGTGTAAGATTAATTTGAGACTGTCCAGAGATGCTAAAGTTTGCCCTGGAAAAGCAAGCTCCACAGCGTTGTTTGTTTAGTGCGATAAGACCTCAAAGACTATCTCTTATCGCTCTATTCAGCCCGTCTGTTTACATCCACCTGCATGTGGTATAAGAAGCCCTAAAGAGATGAAAGCCTCAGGCATGTTTTACCCTGTATGACCACAATCACCCCTGTTCCCTCGAGGACTGCTGGAAGTGTTGTAGCAATAAAAAAAAAAAAAAGACTTTAAATTTTAGTCTTGTAGTATAGATGCTTCTACAATAATTGCCGTCAGGAGTCTTCGGGTAATTCAGTAGTAGTTCAGGGTGTTTACAGATGTTCAAAGTCATACTGCCTCAATGAATCCGGCATTAGTTTTTTTAAATTTCCACACTACTACACATTCTACCTTCAACTGTGGGGGTATATGGGAACGATGGCGGCTCAACCAGAGGTTGTTCGGCCTCTAAAAGGTTCCTATTTAGGTGCACATTATGTAAACATTTTCAGTTTTATAGAAAGGAAACAGATCAAGGCATGGAGATCTTTGTTCATTCTGTTTCCAGTGCTAAGCAGCAGATGTATTAAGGGCTGGTTATGCTCCTGCAGCAGTGTGTCGCAGTGAGCTTGTCTCAGGTATGACGCAGATATTTTTGATTTATGCTCAATGTTGAAGCATGGTCTGCGCTATGTTTATTCCACGCCACAACGCAAAAGGGGAAACTAGCTGCGGGTCTAGATACAGCCGAGGCTTTAACCTCTTACACCCTAAGGGGGTATAAATAAATTTCTGCCTGACAAAAACACACAAAAGTAAATAACTTATAGCCTCAAAGCTATTAGATTTAAGAAGAAACTTTTGGTACGTCTGTAAAGGTAAGATGTCATAGAATGGTTTTCTGGTGTCAGCACCAGAAAACCATTTTTTTCTCCATTTTTTTTCTCCATTCTTAAGACCAGCAAAGAGCAACTGGTATCTGTATTACCGTATACTAACACTGAAGCAAAAGACAGAGCCATTGATAACCAACTGAGGGACACTAGACACTCTGATAAACTTTAATCTAAAAAAAAGCTTTAGTTTATTTTATTCTTGTTAAAGGTGCCAATAAGTGATGCACTGAAGAAAAACACTGAATTGTTTTAGCACGTCTATTAATGCAATAAAATATTGCTCTGTAGAAAAAGGGGCCTCGTCATGTGCACTGCATAAAAAAACATAAAAATCAATCTGTTCATGAAAAACATTAAGCAATATACAGCAAGAATTCATCCTGATAGTGTTTACTTTGTCACCTTTGAACCAGAAAATTGTTTTTGCACAAATTAGCGAGCATAAGCATTGTTGTACACTATCGCCTTCTGCTGGTAGGACTTGTTTAACATCCATCAACTTGGTTCAACTCATTTTTTTCCCCCCAGCTTTTATTGTCATTTTACTGTCACAAGTACAGAGCAACGAAATTCACTCTCTGCATTTAACCCATCCCCTTGGGATGGGCCCAGGGACCCAGGGCGGCTCAGGGACCCAGAGTGGCAGTCTGTGGGAGTGGGGCTTGAACTCAGAACCTCTGGATTCCAAGCTCTATGCCCTAACCACTAGGCCATCACTCGCCTAAAAAGTTTTTTTTTTTTTTTAAGGCTGCCAGCTAATGTGCGGCACCAGTGGGTTAAGGGTCTGGCAAAAGGACACTGAGCGGCAATCTTTGGGGCTTGAACTCAGAACCTTAGCATTCAAAGCTCTACACACTACCCACTAGGCTACCATCCACCTCCTGCTTTATTGAACTTTTTTCCCACTTCGTCTAGGACCTTTCCTTTTTCTTTTTAAAATTCCTCCAGGTAAATGCTGATATGTTCTGCTCCCATACCTTCTTGTGTCAACAATGTGTATACCTCGGATCTAGTGTTCTCCAAATGCAAAGAGTCACATGAATTTAACATGTGCTTACGTTTGATTCCCAACTTCCACATGTGGATCACATTTATGCATAGTATCAAGTATCATTTTGTTCACATAAAGCGGTCACATGTGCATCACATATTAATCATATTATCTTCCATGCGAATATGATTAGACCAAGCTTTGTATAAAACCCTTTTACATATGTTAAAAAGTCAAAGTGTTTGTGTGTATGTTTTATTGTGCATTGTTATACAATTATGTAAACACCTTATTATGTCATTTATTTTACGAGATTTAAAATGTCAAAAATAGAATGAGTTTCAAAAATAAAAAAAACTGACATAAACATGCATTGTCAAACTGTTATTCTGTTTTTTTTTTTACCTTTTTTATTAAAAATGATACATAATTTTGCTTCTGTAAAAATATTGGTTAGATTTTTGCATTTTGTTTTATGTCTTCATTCACAGCTGCAATTTTGCAGGACCTCCACCTCTTGAAAAGAGGTTCACATATGACCAAATATTCATCCTATGAAACTGAATAACATGTAAAGCAAGGAGTATGAGGTGCCCCCAGGGACATAAATCAGAATTAACTTGCATATACACATATTAAATTACACTCTTCCATATAATATACTGAAAACCTCACACAAACACTAGTAAAAAGCTCTCACATAAACTAGTGAAAACATTTACCTCTTATATAATCTACTCAAAAGCTCTCATACAAAGTAGTGAGAACTGTTCATATAAACTGGTGAAAAGCTTTACCTTTCATACACACTAGTAGAAAGCTTTCATATACACTATTAAAAAGCTCTCATATACACTACTAGAAAGCTTTCATATACACTATTAAAAAGCTCTCATATACACTATTAGAAAGCTCTCATATACACTATTAGAACGCTCTCATATACACTACTAGAACGCTCTCATATACACTATTAGAAAGCTCTCATATACACTACTAGAAAGCTCTCATATACACTATTAGAACGCTCTCATATATACTATTAGAAAGCTCTCATATACACTACTAGAATGCTCTCATATTCACTATTAGAACGCTCTCATATACACTATTAGAAAGCTCTCATATACACTACTAGAAAGCTCTCATATACACTATTAGAACGCTCTCATACACGCTACTAGAAAGCTCTCATACATGCTACTAAAAAGCTCTCATATACACTACTAGAAGGCTCTCATACACGCTACTAGAAAGCTCTCATACACACTACTAGAAGGCTCTCATATACACTACTAGAACGCTCTCATATACACTATTAGAAAGCTCTCATATACACTACTAGAAGGCTCTCATACACGCTACTAGAAAGCTCTCATACACACTACTGAAAAGCTATTAGCGGATTTCAGTTGAAACGGAAGGTGTTTCAGTGAAACACGAAGGACCGTCATTACACCGGAAGTTGTTTTAAACGGAGGTCATTCTGGCTAGCTCCGTACATTTTGTGCTATCTCCGGCCGAAATTGTATCAAATAAAATTATTGATTCATGCTCAGCTATCCGCTAAACAACTCACAGAAGCATGGGCATTACTCGACTTTATTTTTTATGTTTATGCTTCAACAGAGATCCTTTTCCGGTGTTGTGCGAAATTCTGTTCCCATGTGAAAATCTGTTCCACCTGTGTCGGGAGCGCGCCGCGCATTGCAGCCACATAAGCGGATCTGATCATTTCCCAGGCCTTTCGGATCATTTCTTGGTTAAATAAAAAGTCGTAACATTATACAAGGTTGAGACATTTAATTTAATCAGCCGCTGTTGTTTACAAAATTGTAAAATAAAAAAAAATAAATGCGGTTTTCTTATGCTGTTTTGTGTTGTTATTTTAAACGCCAAGAGAATCAGTCTCTTTCCAAGTTTTTTCACTTCAGCCTGACAGAAATAAAAGTCAAGTCACCAAATACCAAATTTGTATTTATAATTTTTTATTACTGATATAAGATGATGGGAAGTGCCTGATAGCAGTTCCATAATATGGAAACAAATTAATTTAGATGCAAATCTTAAACTGTGTTTATTCCTCTCTTCATCAACAACAAACCATCTGGATTCGGTGATATTTGAGCAATGTTTGCCTAAATTAAAGGAGGGGGACCATATATTTTAGCTTTCTAATAGTGTGTATGAAAGCTTTCCAGTAGTGTGTTTGAGAGCTTTCTAGTAGCATGTATGAGAGCGTTCTAGTAGTGTATATGAGAGCCTTCTAGTAGTGTATATGAGAGCGTTCTAATAGTGTATATGAGAGCATTCTAGTAGTGTATATGAGAGCTTTCTAATAGTGTATATGAGAGCGTTCTAATAGTGTATATGAAAGCGTTCTAATAGTGTATATGAGAGCGTTCTAATAGTGTATATGAGAGCGTTCTAATAGTGTATATGAGAGCATTCTAATAGTGTATATGAGAGCGTTCTAATAGTGTATATGAGAGCATTCTAATAGTGTATATGAGAGCGTTCTAATAGTGTATATGAGAGCATTCTAGTAGTGTATATGAGAGCTTTCTAATAGTGTATATGAGAGCGTTCTAATAGTGTATATGAGAGTGTTCTAATAGTGTATATGAGAGCTTTCTAATAGTGTATATGAGAGCGTTCTAATAGTGTATATGAGAGCGTTCTAATAGTGTATATGAGAGCATTCTAATAGTGTATATGAGAGCGTTCTAATAGTGTATATGAGAGCATTCTAGTAGTGTATATGAGAGCTTTCTAATAGTGTATATGAGAGCGTTCTAATAGTGTTTATGAGAGCGTTCTACTAGTGTATATGAGAGCTTTCTAGTAGTGTATATGAGAGCTTTCTAGTAGTGTATATGAGAGCTTTCTAATAGTGTATATGAGAGTGTTCTAGTAGTGTATATGAGAGCGTTCTAGTAGTGTATATGAGAGCTTTTTAATAGTGTATATGAAAGCTTTCTAGTAGTGTGTATGAAAGGTAAAGCTTTTCACCAGTTTATATGAACAGTTCTCACTACTTTGTATGAGAGCTTTTGAGTAGATTATATAAGAGGTAAATGTTTTCACTAGTTTATGTGAGAGCTTTTACTAGTGTTTGTGTGAGGTTTTCAGTATATTATATGGAAGAGTGTAATTTAATATGTGTATATGCAAGTTAATTCTGATTTATGTCGCTGGGGGCACCTCATAAAGGAGCCTGAAGTTTCCCATTGAAATGATGAATTGCGTGTAAAAGTCCATTAGTATGTGTGGATTTCATGTTAAAAGCACATTTTATCACATGTGAATAAACCGTGTTTCTAACATAAAACATTGCAAATCCAAGCCTATATATGTGCTTTAAAACAAGTTCCACATGCTAATTTCACATGTGGTGTCTGGGTTTTATGAGTGATTTTCACATGTAAATTTCATTGTGTTTTCTCTGTAATGGTTGTTATTGTAAAATAGAGAAAAGGCTGAAATTTACTTACAAATAAAGCTAAAACAAAGGTCATATGACAAGCTAACAATGCGCCATAATCAGAAAGCCTTTGCATGCAGCCCGGTGAGCTACTGGTGTAGAAATGTGTCAAGTCATTGTATAAGATTACACCTTTTGCACATCTTTACCAGGGATGCCAAAAAAGTGTAGGGGATGCAGAAATAGTTTTTGGCTTTTGCACATATTAGGCATCATTGGATAGACTTCACAGTTGCAAAGCTTATTAACCCAGCTCTTCCTTTCTATGTTGCAGACCTGGACACAAACCGATGATTTGCTGCTGGAAGACAATGAAAATAGAATGAAAATCAAACTTACTTTCTGCTCCTGTCTTTCAGAATCATCAGTAACTTCTTTTCTGTCTCTTTTCTTACGGAAAATTTCCTCCAACTATGAAAGGAAATAAGCATCAAGGAGATTGTGATACACTAAAGTACTTCTTGTTGTCTCTTTGGGAATTATTATGGAGGTGAGGTCCCTACCACCAAGAACTCCCTTTTGTCCACCATTTCGTTGCCGTCTGCATCAAACATGTTGAAAGCGATCCGGAATCCCGCTTGAGGCTCTGAAATTAAACAGAGGGGAAAAAGCTTATTTGAGAAATTTAAACACTATCTGCCTGCTTGATTCTATTGAATTCAGGTCGGGTCTATACTGACTTGTTAAAATGCAGAGCAGAAAAAGGTACTCGGTGTAACTGATGGCACCTGGAACAAAGAGGAAAAAAACATGAGGCAAGGCATGAAACAAAAGCCGAAATGTTCCTTTTTGCACTCAGGACGGCATCAAATGGCATTAATTGGTTAGTTCAGGGTGTTTACAGATGTTCAAAGTCATGCTGCCTCAATGAGTAAGCCGTCCGCAGTGACAAGGCATGCCTCCAGACACAGGTAATCTCCTCGCGCTCACTGATAACATCTTAAAAGGTGCCTTTTACCTCATGCTTGGTGTTCCTCTCACACAAACACGAAGCTTTACAACTGAGCTGACCTACCAGGACAACAAACCCAAACAAATTTGAAGGCCCACAGCTTCTGATGGTGCTTGGGTAACAAGGTGTAATACATTCTTGGGTAATCTGTCACTGATTGAGAATGGCCGATTCAGGTCCTGTGTGGAGGCCTTTGTTGTGTGACATGGATAATGGAAGAGTAAGTGTCAGGAGACATCTCAGCCGACTCGCTAGGATTCTCCCTCCTGCCTCTGAAAGCATTCGCAAGCTTTTGTTTGCTCGGGATGATAGAGAATCGAGCGCAGATAGTTCTGGGTGAGTGCTCGGGGTGTTATGGGAAAAGAACTCAGGAACAAGGTTTGCTGCAGGGAAATGTTTTCAGAGGAAAGAACACCCAAGAGAAGAAACAAGACTACAAAGGAAACACGTCTAATTTTATTGTGTTCCTATAAGTGCTGGAGCTCTGTTGCTCGTAGGATCAGCTTTTAATTAAGCAGATTTCTACTAAAAAACATCCCACAGGGGAGCTCTCCATCGTTGTGTCTCTGCCCCACAATGACAGCAGAGGTCCGCCTCTACTGGCTTTAAAGCTTAAAATTCAGGAGGCAGAAAAAAAAATCTTTTAAGATTCCTGCCATGTCTCACCAATACCACACACCTTCATCCTGGAGGGGCACCCCCACTCCTCCCCAGCCGCTCAGCCTCTGAGCTCAAGTAGATGTTTTTAGACAATACAAAGAATTCCTCAGAAACACTTCATACGGAGTGGCAGTCCCGGAGATGTAATCCAATGCTATTCTCTGGCTTCACGATGTCCACGGTGATCGGAGCGAAGGGGGTGGGGGCGGCCGGTGGGACATGTCTTGACATAGCGGAGTTCAAACAGCTCCCTCATTCTCTAAAGTAGCGCTTTGTGAGCAGATCAATCCAAATCTTTTTTTCTTTTTCTTTTTTTTCCCTCCTGACAAAGCTGTAGTGTTTAACAGCAGGATTAAAAGCCCCGAATCCCAGCGCCGGCACTTAGCTAAAGCAACAGGGGGAGAGAGGAGAGCCCTGCTGGCTCACCTGGGACACCGAGCTGGAAGCGTGCAGGCCCAGGTGGGAATGCTTAAAAGGAGTTTCACTCAATTCACTGCAGAGTTCCTTCAAAGACACCATGGCAACCTGCATAAAAGGAAACTTGTTTTCTAACTTAGTTACAAAATGATTTCAAGACACATGAGAACAGATCTCTGGGTAATTTTAACCAAAAAACAGAGAAATCTTGTCTTTTAAAATGGTTCACATGCTGCATTCATGCATTGAACTGCTACAGAATAAAGAAATGATGCCAAATTAGTTTTGCAAAGCTTTTTCTTCTTTATTCTGTAACACAAATTGATTTTGTTTGTTTTTTTGCATTCTGCATTTCTATACGTATGCAACACTGGGGTTCCTGCCTTCATACCTGTCCCTTACCTCCCTTTTTGTCATGTTTTTCATTATTTTTCCACAAATAAAAATCCATCATTTGTGTTACACTTTTCTAAAAAGCCCTACCTGAGCGTAAATTTTATAGAAACACAGTTTTGCTGCGGTTATAATTTGAAGTCCTTAGTTCTGCATCTCTACCACCTTCTGACTGCAGCATTCCACACGTCATTTGGTCTGCTTGCTCATTTCTTATCATGCTGCACTTGTATCGTATCCCGCACACAGAGCCAGCATGATCACAAACACAGCATGTGAGTGCAAAACTTCCCTTGCACAAGTTTCTTCTGTTTATTTTTGTTTTAATCCATTTGAAGCCTAAGGTTACTGTAACCCACTGGTTAATAATAAATGGGTCAGTTGCTGAAGTAATTAAGTAATTACCTGATTAAGTCTTTTATAGCATTCTGTACTTTGGGATCAATGTCGGAAATCAAAAAGTAATCAAAAAGTATCAGGACATAGTTGTATTTTTGAATATAATTTTCCCAGACCTGCCAAAGATTATCTTATTTAGTTCCAGTGTTGGACTTAGCAATTCTAAATTATGATCATGCCTCAATCGATGCATCCCAGGGATGCTCCAGTCGTATGTTAAGGGTTGTCATTTCCCTCAAACGTAACCTTACACTCCAATCTTAGGTCTTTTTGAGCCTCTAACATTATTTTTTTTTTAGCATTTAGCTTCATCCGTCTTCCTATAAACAACGCTGCTAGCTCGTCTAACCTACAGCCACATTTACAGCATGAAATTCAAAGTTTCCAAATTAAACAAGCTAAATTGCATGTGCATTTTTTTTTGCCTAATGCCTGTTTGCAAAAAGTAGGGATATTGCAAGTGACCTATAAAGATTGGTGCGAAAATTTTAAAACAGAGCAAGCAGATTGTGTGTTCTACAGGCAGTTTGAGAGTGGCCATAAAAGACAGTTCGGCGATGGAGGTATCAGACATAAGGGTGATGTAAAAGATAATAATTCTAATACTAAATTATGTTTACAGAGCAATTTACATAGGTAGCCTATTTCTGAAAAAAAAAATCAGATAAAAGTAACTAAAGTTAAAAATCGAACAAACAGTCAAAAAAATATTGAATTTGATAAAGAAGCAAATATATAAAATGTAACCATGCTTCCTACACAATATTGTTTTATTAAATTGAAAGAGAAAAAGAAATTCCTTATGTAACTAAAAAGATACACATTTTCACCCCCTGCCCACCCCCACCCCTCTTTTTTTCTATGGATGTCATTGTACTATTGCTATTTCTGATGGCTAAAATATCTCTACATGTGCACATAATCTCTCTCCATCATCTAACATTGTTCCTAGGCATCCTTTGTGGCAATAAAGACCGCAGATGTTGTTGCATGTCAATTCTTATTGATTTTAGTACTAATTATGACCACAAAACTGTGAACGCAGTTAAGATTCAGATTTGGAACATTTCTCTGAATTTGGTAAATGCTAACATTTGTATATCCTCCACCCAACACTTTGCATGGTTTGGTCATTAGAATATGAGCTGCATATTGATGAAGGGACACCAAGAAAAAAAAAAACAAGGTTTCCACATGCTGTTTGCTGAATTGCAAACACATCTGACTATACACCTTCTTTGAAGATCTGCTCTGCTCGTACAAACACGTTTGCATCTGTTTTAGGACATGCAAACCTTCTGAAGATCAGGGCCTGGGTGTTTTAAATGAAATCCAGAGTTCAGTTTTACTCTAATCTGACCTGAGTGTTTTTCCGCATGTTTGCTTGAACTTCTTCACAATTTTCTCCCTGACCTGCTTTCTTCTTCTACCTCATGCAGTAAAAGCCCCGGATATGGAAGTCTGACATTATGGTGTGACGAAATATGGAAAGAAAAGTCATGAAGTATTGGGCACTTTTTCCAGATGCATTGTTGTAATATCATGTTGTTAAAATGAATAAGTAAATGGGTATAAAGGTGCTGATGATATTTGCGAGAAATTCAGATTTCAGTAAATTTGAGTAGTAGGTATGTTTTTGTTGCTATTTCCAGAAGGGACGTACTCTTGTTTTTTCCATTTTGAGGAAAAATCCATGACTCTGTGTTATGTTACATTTAGAAAAGTTTGGGGTCTTGATTACTGACTAAAAGCTATTGTGTGGTTTTATCCATCCAAAAAGGTTAAGTAAAAATGTTTCAAACTGCTTGAGTTATATTTGTGAGTTTTTTTTTTATGATATTTAATAAAAGATTTCTGTTACATTTAATGATTTATTTCAGTTTTTCACCATCTGTGTAGCGAGTATGCATTTCAAGGGCTTGCTGGGAATATTTACAAGCAGACTGATGGGGAGATAATATAGCGTTTACAGCCTGAACCCTCTGCTGTGGATCACAGACATGTGTCACAACAGAGATCCCTCTGAATGAAACAACATTCGAGGGATTTGCGTCTGCAGTAAATCAGGAGATGGGATCTACCTCTCTCTCGGAGATTTCTGAACAAATTAGATGATCCTTTCCAAACAGGAGGAGTATCCGACAGCAGCTTGTCTAATTCCTGGGAAAACAGAGGAAAAGCCGGTTGAATTACAGTGAATCCAGCTGTTTTCCACGGATAGGGAAGAGATTGAGTAAAAAAAAAGCTTTGATGGCTTGAAAACTCACCTTTTTAGTGACGGACCTCCATCCTCTCTTACCTAAAGAAAGCAAGACTCAATGTTAATATGTAGGTCAAAAATGGAAAACATGGGGTTAAATAGAAATCAGTGCCAGGGAGGGTGAGCTGGGAATCAAAACTGAAAACAGGTGTTTGCTTGGACAGAAAAATAAATCTCATATCACAATGAACACATTCCAGAGGCCTATAAAGCAGCAGATAAGACAGGCGTGTCTTTGAAATAAATCTGGCTGGAAAGTAACGTTAATAACAACAACAACCTTATAGAAAAAACATTTCAGCAAAAAATCGATGTTACAGGATATAAAATTGTTATTTCAAAGAGTAACTTTCAGATTTTTCATACCTTCGTAGACAAAAAAAATGTCATACCTTCCTGAACGCCCAGCTACCAACCCACCATAAAGCCCTACATCTAGACTTTTACAACAAATGAGCAATTAGCAACGTGACGATAATGAGCCTTGATGTGTTATAATGTTGTTTGTTTGACAGAGAAGAGACACATTACAGCCAGCCGCACACCATACATCACAGTCTTATCATGACATTTACGGAATCTGTGCAAAGTAATTCAGTCTCTGTGGGTCCCTGCAAGTTTGTAGCCACATAAATGAGCCATAAAAGTAGGGTTGCTGGTAAAGATGTCTATCTTTATGCAGGTGTTATGACTAAAGCACTTCAGGGCCTGACTTATTGTCCAATGACACTTTGCAAGCCCTCAGCAGAAAAATTTTTCCAGGAAGAACCAGCAGGACTTTAAAAAAAAATGTTTTTATTAAACTGTTGCATAACAAAATAAATGCTGAAAAAAGGCGAGGATATATTTTGATAGAGGTTTGATTAAGCCAATAGAAGTTGACTAAATGATGGTCTGCTAAAGTATCGACACCTCTTAAACTTTTTCATGTTTTTATACTACAACCACACGCATTACTCTATGTCAGGGGTTCGAATAAAGAAAATCATCAACCAGTAAAGGTCCGGAGACATTTTTAATTATAATCTGTTACTTTAAACACAATTGAATTTTAAAGGGTTTTTTAAAGTAAATAACAACAATCATTCAGTTTGGTATAAAGACGATTTCCTGATTCACATATTTTATAAAACATCTGAATTGACCAGTTTCTTATTTTTTTCCTTTTTTCTGTCTTAATGAGAGCAGTGGGCTTTATGCTGCCCTGCAAGTCTTTTAAAACTGGGTTTGAATGGAGACAAAGTCATTCTCAAGCACATATCAAGGAGCTCATTTTGAGTCTGGATCCATATTTATTTTTGATTCTGTTCATGGTGGAGAATCCTGCTTCACAGCAGCAGGTTGAGCCAAATATCCTCTAAATGTTCAGGGTCATCTCTGAGCACCATTTCACTTTTCTTTCACCAGTTCACCCCAGTTCTTCCAGCAGTCCACACTTTCTCTTCTCTCTTTTTCTCATCATCTTCTCCTTCTTTCCCATCGCCCGGCTTGCCACAGGTTTGCCTGCTGTGTCTAAAAGTAGCAGCAGCAGCAACCCAGACTGACAGCAGCTCATTGGCTACCTTGTATCACGTGTAGCCTGGTGTCGGCACTCCGGACGGCTTTACCATATTAACAGGAGAAGCGGCGCAAGTTAAGTTCGACACAGTCGTCAGACAAAATGCAGTAATTGATAAATGTTTTAAAACAGGTTGGGTTCGGATTAGCCAGCAGGTGGGTCTGGATCCGAAATGCGGTCCGCTTATCTGTGACCTCTGGTCTATGTTATTCAGATGGGGGGGGTAGAGCAGCCAGAATTGAACAACTTCAACATATTGACTTTTGACGAGTAAATGTAAAAAAGTAAAAAAAAAATACTAAAATGTACAAAACATAATGAAATTCAGGAAACAGAGACCTTTTTTCTAAAGAAATTTGTTTTCAACATACATTTTGTGAAGGCACTACTTTCAGTTGCCAATTTATACAGGGTTCTCCCAGCTTATTTTAGCCTAGCGGGCCGTCACGCTGAAATTTGGGGAGCGTTTTTTTTTATTAGTGTAGGGACCCTTTGACGAACGTCAGGGCTCCTTTCCCAGGGTTCTGTCCAGCACATTTCAGCACAACAATTACAGTGAAATTAAGTAGATTTAATGAGTTTTCATGAGCGTAAGAGCCACAAGTACTGTATGGGTTTTTGACTGTTGGGTTTTTCTTTTTACTCAATAAAACATAGCATTGCTGTGATGGTCTGAAGCAGCTTTTCCATGTCTGCACGTAGATCAGAGCAATGTCTCAATGGGGGACCCTGATCATTTTCATATTAAGAGGAGATCTGGAGATATGGAGGTAAAATCAAAAGAAATAGGAGTGGCCTTAGTTAGCAAAGAGCAAAATATTAAATAAAATATAAGTGCAGCTGAGAATGAAAATAATTTTACAGTCACTTAATGGCCTGGAATATAAAATAAACTGCCAAAAATATTATAATATATATATATATATCAAATTTGATGACATCCATTTATATGGTCTAATTTGTTCATAGATTCTTGCTCTGAGCAAAGTGTACCCGATCACAAAATCGCCTGTGCTCAGTTAAACCTAAAAATGTTTCTAATGAGCTACAGGATAGGAAACAAAAAAGATAAACCAAACTGTGTGTTGCTGATGTGCTACTAAATTGGTGTTGCAACTTTCCCATCCGACTTGCAACAATTTTCAAACTCAATCTGATGTTACCTGCTTTGGATCAAGCATGTAAATATTGCAGCTGTATGGGTGCGTAGGGGACAGATGTGAGTTTAAAATATATTGTCACTCTAATATAAATAGTCTAAGAAAAATGGAGAAAAACTAACTTTTTTATATTTTAATGATTGCAGTTTGTCAATCAAAGTCATATTTGTTCACTAATTTATCTAAATCTGTTGTATAATTTCAAAAATAATTAAAAGTTGCTGTTTTAATGTGACAAAATGCAGAAGGAAAGACTCAGCAGGAGTCAAATGGGCCCCAAAGTCATCCTGAAAATCATATTGTTTTGCAGCAGAGATATCAGTTATTAATATATCTTGGATATTTATCCTTTAACCTCTCTATGTTTTTCAGTGGACCTAAAGCATCATTTAAATCTAAACAGAGTGTACTATTGAGCGTATGGATACAGTAAGCCCTGCAGATCTTACTTACTCCTTGGTTCATTCAGAGTGACTGACTCAATGAAGTTTAGAGGCGTCATGTAGAGCTGGCCTTCACACTCTACTGAGCTGAAGAGCCGGAATCTGTTTTCAAAAGACGACATGTAAACATCTCCTTCATCCAGATCATAGGTCTTTACCTGGAGGCAAACACACAACACATAGAAATACCAGCACGTTAGTTCTATTACTGTCTGAAGGATCCTTCGTCTAAAATACCCTGAGCTTTCTTGTTATGAAAAGCCTTTCTTGGTTCAGTAATGGGGTGGGGGTGGGGTGGGGGGTACAGCAGATACAGCAGATAATGTCCCTAAAACTGGTCAGCCCCATCCAGATCAGACGGCTGGATTAGTGAGGACAGAGTGGATCTCTCTGTCAGGTGGCCCACTGCCAGGTCCACTGGGCATACAGCAAACACCTAGGGAATGCATGCCCCCCTCTGCTTAACCATTAACCCCCCCTCCCCCTCTCCCTTCTTCAAATATCCGGCGCTCTGCCAAGCCAAAGTGTCCAATTTCTTGTTTCCCTGGATAGCTTCTGTCTAAGGACACCGGTCAGCAATCCCTCGCTGATACCGACTAACACCGGACAACCAAACTGTTTCCCTGCAGTGAATTTAGTCTTCACAGGCATGCTTTACTCATCAACAAGCACTGCGAACACAATCCTTAGCTTGGTCGTTCTTGTGGGAGAAAAACAGGGTGACATAAGTTTGAATAAAGCTATAGTTGGGCTCAAAGGGGCTGTAAAGCTTATCTGACCACTCTTTCCTTTATTTAACATATGCATAGATCTTAAATGGGTCAAAATATAAAGAATTAAGAGTTTTCTGAAAGTCCTACATATACAGTCTGATTGACCTTAATGTTGTATTATTATTTCATTGGGATGAAAGATGTTTTCTTTCCTTTTTTTGTTCTGCATCAAGAGAGACTAGGTTGTTTTTGCCTTAATATTGACTTTTGCTTTAATCTTCCAACATGATTAATTACCAGACTGTAAAGTTAATGCTATTTACACAGTTTATAGGGTGTCCCCTAATGGTCAAAATTAGCTAAATATTAATGAAACAGTCCCAACCTACCAGCCTTGTATAATATGTGTGCTTTATGGGACTTTTGGAAATTTGGAAAATTCCTTGTTTTTGATTTAGTCAAGAAAAAAGTATTAAAGCATGGAATACATGATGATCTAATTATTTATGGGCACAAAGAAATGTCCATAAAAGGGAGAGAGGAGAATAATTTACTTCCATTAATGACGTTCACACACTGTGGTCAGATAAGCAATAAAGTGATAACTATTTCAGGCAAAGAACCCATTTAATAATCTCTTATTAAATGTTTCTGTCAAATATGTTTTCAGACAATAATTATGCATATGACCAGGGCTGACTCAAGGCTTTAGCAAACTAAGCAACTGCACAAGGGAAACTAGGAGGTCCCCAAGAACAATTCATTGTTGGTTTATTTTGCATGTTTAATAATTTCTATGTGATTATCGTAACAAAACGATTTATGATAAAATTGTGCATTTTTTTATCTATATATAAAAAGTGAAGAAATTATTACTTATACAAAAAAAACATACATGGTCAGATTGATGCACAGAAAAGGAAGGACCACAGTAAAGATAAACCTGTCTTCTATTAGTGATGACAGAGCACTGTATTCAGAGATGGGAAACTGACATCCTAAAGCACAGACAACCTCATTAGCTCGCTTATTGCTCTCACAATCTACCCTAACCTTAGGGACGCTCTGAGATAAGCCTGCTCTCTCCCTGTGACTGCTGCATCTGCAGAGCAAAGCTTTACCAAACTAAAATGAATAAAGAACTACCTGAGAGCTTCCTTGGCAGGAGAATGATGGAGTGGGGTGTCCGTGATTAATATTAACAAAAAAGTTGGTTATCAGATCTGTTACAGTAATGTGATCCTTGACTTTGGACACAGAAAAGCCAAACAGCACACAGAGTGAATGGAGAACTAAGGGAGAACAGTGTAACATAAAAAGTAAAATGTGTGAGTAAATGTAATTTATGTTTTTTAATCGAGCTCTTCATATACTGACATGTATTTACATAGTTTTTTAGAGACAAATATTTAACTTTACATTTAATTTTTCTACCAGGTTTAAGGTAACTTTGAATTCCCTTATTTAATAACATGCATTTTATATTTAATTTACTATGTCTGTTTTTATACAATTTAGTCTCTTATTTTTATTTATCAAAGTTATTATAGTGTTAACAGATATTGTTTGTTGTTATTCTTGTTCTTCCCTTGAGTACATTTTGTTCCATTACATGTTATCCATCTTGTAAATGTAAATTTGAAAATACACATTTGAACCTGGAGAGACTCAGACAGAGAAAAGCTGCTAATTAAAAAAGTGTTATTCGATTCAATGTATTTATGCAGGTAATAAAGGAGATTGGTCAAAAATGCTCTAACTAAGGTAACCCAGCTGATTGCATGGACTCTTTTCCCTAACACCACGCATGCATGTAGGGACAGTGGAGAGGAAAACTCCCTTTTAAACAGGGAGAAACCTCCAGCAGAACCAGGCTCAATGTGACATCTGCTGAGGCTGACTGGAGTTCAAGGAGATAGAAGATGATATACAAATACTGACACGAATTAGGGCTGGGCGATATAGAAAAAAAGCTTATCGATAAAAAAAAATGCATCTTGATCGATATCGATAATTATTGAAAAAATTTGAAACCATATTTTATGTGCAGCTCTGCCTGAACTTTTTATGATATTGCTAAATGATTTAATTATAATAAAGAACACAAACTCAGACTTCTAATTAAATCTTTATTTAATCAACTTTTTTGCCCATAACAGAATTGTTTTAAAGAAAAATAACTTAAGAGACCTGGGTTATGTTATTAAATACTGACAAAGAATAAACTAAAGTGACCAGAAAAGTGACCAAAATAAATATAACAAATAAATAAATGGAATCCCCCCCCGGCCGCCACCCGCATTCCTGCTTTAACCTGAGTTATTAATTTGAAGTTTCTGGCCCCTCAGCATTTTTCTCTCAATTGTTAGAACTATGTGGGAAACTGCCCAGAATTGAAAATATATATATATATTCCCGAAATTCCCGAAGATTCCTCGGAGGAGAGCCGCGCCGGGGCCTACACAGCTCGTACTCCTGCGGCTGTGAGCGGCTGAGATAATAAAAAAACGTTGGTTGTGTTATCAGACTTCGTTTTCACCAGTTCCCTACACATTTTACAGATGACTGTGGTTTGTTTTTGGTCCGACTTGCCATGACCGAAATACTGCCAAACTGGCGAACTACAAAAACCTTTCTTTGGAACTATTTCCTCCACCTCTCCTTGCTGCATAGCTTCATGTGCTCTGTGTTGTGGTTTGAGAGGGCGGCGCTTTGTGACGGCATGCCTGGGTCCGCGATTGTGATTGGTTGGGAGGAAGCAGTGACTAGCATAAACCTACATGCCAGGCTACAATGAGAAGGAAGGAAAACTGCGTTTCTTATCGAACTTTTATCGACACTCTTTTTTTCTATTGCGCCACACGTCTATCGATCGATATATATCGTTATTGAATTATCGCCCAGCCCTAACACGAATAACAGAAGCCTTCGATGCTGTGAATCAACATTCGCTTAATTGAGTAAACTAGGAAAAAAATTAGAGTAGTGTTCCCCCGGGGCCCAGACACTGGTGGTGGATTAAGCCAGAGGGTGAGTGGGACTGAGAATGAGTAAGGAGATAGGGTGGAGTTGGTGAAAGTTTGCTGGCGTGTGGAAGGGAAGCTACAGTAGGCAACATGCTAAATGAAGGGGATCTTGAAAGATGATTTGCTTTGGAGGAGGTACGGCCCTGAAATTGATTGACTAAAGCTTGAATGTGGGACATCAGCAGGTGCTATAAGTGACGCTGATAAGAATCTTCCAGGCTGAATTTTTTCTGTTTTCTCAGATTTTAATAAGTTTTTGTTGTTTTTTTTATTAAGTATTTTTTCACATATTTTTTTAAGTCTTGTTTTTCCAGAATTCCCTTTTTACAGATTTAATATTTTTCTTTATAATTCACCTACTTTTAAAATTGCAGTTCAGAGATCAAAATCTCTCCACTCCGATTGCAACAGAAACGCTAGCTTTCGACGCAAACTTCTACAAACAAAAATGTTGTTGCTAACACTCTGCGGACCAATAGAAATGATATTTTGCTCTTTACCCAAGAGTAAAACCTGCCCCGAAAAGTGCCCGCTCAGAGAAAAAACTTATTTTTCAAATAATTTTTTATTTTATTTTTACATACGCTTATAAAACCAATATTTATTGTAGGTTGTGTATAAATGTCAGGAACGGGTAAAAAAAAACTTCCTATAAAGATTGTTTTTTATAAGTTTAACACTCTGATTCTGTTTATGTTAAAAGAAACAAAAAATGACGTGAAAAATAAGATACTTCCATAGGCGGTTCTAGACTGGGGCCAACAAGGGCAACCAGTAGAACTGGTCCTCGCCTCTTTTAGACTAAGACTTAGACTACCTTATACAGAGTGTATACAAAATGAAATTTTATTTTTTACAGCTTTCAGACACTGAATGCACAGCAGCTTAGCAGCGAAATGAACAGTTCCATTTCATAAAGTGCAGCAGTGGTCGAATGTTAACAGTGCCGGAGAAAAATGGTGCAAAAGGCATTGATGTGGAAGTTCAGTAGACAAAAATGTTTTGATTTGATTTGTAATTGGTTAGATGTTATCTTTGTAATGCACAGTCATGATTTGAGGCTTAATTTAGAGTTGAGTTTTTTTTTTTTTTTTTTTTACAGTTTAGCAGTCTGATGGTAGAGGAGAAAAAGCTGTTACAGAACCGGCTGGACCGGAAGCAATACAATTTAGTTTTAAACTAATTTAGAAATTACAGTTAGCTTTAAGTTCAGCTGTATCATTATTGGTTTACAGTTTTCATCTACTGACCACCTGTTTTTTATTTTTCTATTTTTGTTTTTTGGCTTTTTTGTGTTTGCTTCTCATTACTATTGTTCTGTGTCCCCATGAAAAAACACTGCCTCCCCCACCGCCCCAGAAGATTTCCTCTAGAACCGCCACTGGTTTCTATATAAATATTTGTTGATTGTGTTATTTATTTGCATTATAACAGTTATTTGCTTATAACTGTCTGTGTTATTGGATCATTTTAAACATTAAATCAGACTCCACAATCCAATTAATCAAAAGGTTACAAGAGAATCAATTTTGATATTACTTTTTCATTTTTACTTGAGCAATTTCTTGGATAACTATTTTCTACTTTTACTTGAGTAAAAAAAAATTGTGCTAATCTTACTTCAGTAAAAGTTTTGGATTTCCTATCCACCTCTGATCAGCAATTCCTTAATATATGACGTAGTTATGATGTAATATTCATTGTATGTAATATTCACGTGTAAACGATGTATAGCCTACAAAGGAAACAGGCATCAAAAATCATAAATGAACGAAAATCAAGAAGTGGTCTAAAAGGGTCTGACCGTTTAGCCATTTCAGCACCAAAGGTCGCGGATAGCTCCCGATAGTGACAGCAACCAGTTAAATGATTTTCATCAGACAGAAAAAGAGAAAGGAAGCCTGTTTAGATGTTCATCTCAGACTGTTTCAGAGTTAAAAACTGTACCTTTTTGGCTGCAGAGACCGACGGCAGCGCCAGATGTACGAGCCCTGCTTGGAAGCTCTTCGGTCCGACACCGACATCAGAGCCGTAGTAAAGAGCCGCAGCACCGGCTGCGGCCATGGCTCCAGCCGCAACCACTTTCAGAGCCTTTCTCCCATTAGAGGAGGCTGGTGGTTGCAGCCCCGCAGCAAACGCTCCTGATTTGGAGCTGTTTGATAGAGAAGGAATCAGCCTGCGCAGTGCGGCGGCCATGGTTGTTTACTCAGGCTCTGTTAACCTGGAACACAGAGTCTCGGACATCGCGAGAAATCACGTGGTTGTGTTTGAGAAGAGGAGTTAGACTCAACACTCGGATAAAAAGCGATATTTCATTGATTTCAACGACTCTGGACTCGCTGTTTTGTGCTCTACTTCCAAACCTCAATATTTTTGTGATATTTAGGGGGAAAAACGGTTTCTTACAGATAAATTCTACTTGTAAGAACTAAAAAAAAAAAAAAATACAATATGAAAGGTTTGGTTTTTTTCCTTTTATTTGTCTTCCCTTCAAGGTCTGCTATACCAAGACTGGTTGAATAAAGACTATTTAACACTGAAAAGAGAATTATGAAACATTGCTTGTGTAGTTGGGGACTTTATTTATTTCGTTAAACTAAAAAAAAAAAAAAAAAGCCAGTTTAAAGATTTATGTCCCCTCACCAACTTATATACTATTCCCTGATCCCTTTTGGAAAATATAAAATATGAAAATAATAGTATTCAGACCCCTTTAACTTTTCCTCCTTTGTTTCATTAGAGCCATTTGCTAAAATAAAAACAGTTTATTTTATTTCTCAGCACCCCATCTTGAAAGAAAAAAAAAACAGAAATGTAGACATTTTTGCTAATTTATTCAAAAAGAAAAAACGGAAATATCAAATGGACATAAGTATTTAGACCCTTTGCTGTGGCACTCATATTTAACTCACATGCTGTCCATTTCTTTTGATCCTCCTTGAGATGGTTCTGCTCCTTTACTGGAGTCCAGCTGTGTCTGATTAAAGGGATTGGACTTGATAAGGAAAGGCACACACCTGTCTATAAGACTGTACAGCTCACAGTGCGTGTCAGAGTAAACGAGAATCATGAGGTCGAAAGAACTGCCCAAGGAGCTCAGAGACAGACTTGTGGCAATGCACAGATCTGGCCGTTACAAAAGAATTTCTGCTGCACTCAAGGTTCCTAAGAGCACAGTGGCCTCAATAATCTTTAAATAGAAGAAGTTGAGAACTCTTCCTAAACCTGGCCGTCCAGCCAAACTCAGCAACAGTGAGAGAAGAGCCTTGGTGAGAGAGGTAAAGAGGAACCCGAAGATCACTGTGACTGAGCTCCAGAGATGCAGTAGGGAGATGGGAGAAAGTTCCACAAAGTCAACTATCACTGCAGCCCTCCATAAGTCGGGGCTTAATGGCAGAGCAGCCCGACGGAAGCCTCTCCTTTTTCACACAGAGTTTGCGAAAAAAAAAAAAAACACATGAATGACTCCGAGACTGACTTTGAGAAAGAAAATTCTCTGGTCTGATGAGACCAAGATAGAACTTTTTGGAGTTAATTCTAAGCGGTGTGTTTGAGGAAAACCAGGCACCGCTCATCACTTGCCAAACACAATCTCCACAGTGAAACACGGTGGTGGCAGCATCATGCTATGGGGGAGTTTTTTCAGCTGCAGGGACAGGACGACTGGTTGCAATTGAAGCAAAGATGAAATTCAGCCAAGTACAGAGATAACCTGGAAGAAAACCTCTTCTAGAGTGCTCTGGACCTCAGACTGGACCAAAGGTTCACCTTCCAACAAGACAATGACCCTCAGCACACTGCTAAAATAATAAAGGAGTGGCTTGGGAACATCTCTGTGACCATTCTTGAATGGCCCAGCCAGAGCCCTGACCTAAACCCAATTGAGCATTTCTGGAGAGACCTGAAAATGGCTGTCCACCAACGCTCACCATTTAACCTGACAGACCTGGAGAGGATCTGCAAGGAAGAATGGCAGAGGATCCCTGATTACAAGTGTGAAAGACTTGTTGCATCATTCCCAAGAAGACTCATGGCTGTACTAGCTCAAAAGGATGCTTCTACTAAACACTGAGCAAAGGGTCTGAATACTTATGACGATGTGATATTTCAGTTTTCTTTTTTAATAAATTTGCCAAAAATTCTACACTTTTATTTGTTTCTGTCAAGATAGGGTGCTGAGAATACATTAATGAGAAATAAAATGAACTTTATTGATTTTAGCAAATGGCTGCAATAAAACATACAGTGAACATTTTGAAGGGGTCTGAATATTTTCAACAGCCACTGTATCTTGATCGGTGCCTGAAATTCACTTTTGAACTTTGGGGGGAATTTCCCTCCTTATATGCTTGGGAGTGGGGGGATTTATACATTTTGGGGGGAATTATTAGTCAGTGACTACAGGTCTTATGTTGTGCTAACCATACCTCAGATTAATAAGTTGCTTTCATTTTTTCACCTTATGTCTTCCTAGCTGTTGTTTCAGCTGCTCTCTCTTGCCCCTTCCCTTGCATGATCTCTTTCTCTCACTTAACTGTAGGGTTAATGGAAGAACAATTTTTTTAGGATGGAAAACCTTCCAGGGAAAAATGTTGTAAGGTTACCTACTGATTTTTATATATTTTTACAGCAGATCAACGCATATGAAAAATTTTGCTTTGGCCATTTCATTTTCTGCAAAAAAGTAAGATGTTTTAAGAAGCCCTTTTATTTCATCTTCAGGCTGCACTTGCACACCGTGGATAGCTTTTTGGCCATGACATTATTTACTGAATCTGCCTCACGTTTCTTTTCAATGCTGCAGTGGGAGAAACACCGTCAGAGTGGCGGTGGAGGTTTTACAGCTTATGCTGGTAAAGGGTATGGGACTGAACATTTTACAGATGGAGCAGCTTATTTCACTGGGGATGTAGGCATTGCTTTTTATTTGTGTTTTTTTTTTTAGAAGCTGATTTCTCTATTGATACGGCGATAGATTTTTATTTTAGCCATAAATCCATATTTGGTATATTTTAAAGCTTAAAGACGTTAAATATGATAACCACCGGTTTGCTAGCCTAAAACTAAACTGTTCTCTATGAGAAGAAGAAAAAAGAAAAGAAGAAGGGTGCACCAGTGAGTAGCGGAGATGTCGTCGTTAATCTAAATCAGAAAACATCCATATTAGTAGTTACACTTGCCATATTTTTTTTAAAGAGGGATTTACCCACATTATAAAAAAACGTAATTGAGGTGATGGATCAGATAATGCGCTATGCCTGCTATGCTGCAGTGAATTTCAGGCCCTGTTGATAATTAAATAAATAATTACAGAGGAAAGGCAGATCTTGTTATATATAAAAAAAAAAAAATTTTACGTGTTGTGGAAGATGTTTTAAAAGACCCGCACTTTCCACTTTAAAAAAATGTGTATGCATGACCATGCACGAGCCCATTCCTCCTTGTGCACACACCCTGTTTAAAATGTGCTGTTCTCATACCTCATACAAGCTTACTGTGTCCATTTACAGTGGGGAGTATATAGTGGACTTTATAGCAAACTCAGTTAACTGACCGTTTGGACAAATGATCACTACTTTTTGCTCCATTGGACGCGTAACTCCTCCTCCTTCGTGTGGTGCCTGCGCAATCTTTGTTATTAGTCGCCAATGTCGTGTAGTGACAGCCTATTGCGACAGCGGGCCCCTGTGACAGCAAATCCTAGTGCTTTGGGAGGAGAGCTCTCCATGCAAAGCATTCTGGGATATATCTGCCTCATCTGAGGCCTTTCTTTTCTTCTCATATTCTTCGTTGACACTTTTTCTCTTACGACCCTCTGCCATTTTTAAAGAACCGCAGTGAGAAAGGTGAGCTTCAATGATCGGCCATTTTTAAAGACCCGCGGTGAGAAAGTTGAGCTTCAATTATTGTCTGAAACTGTCCCTCATCAAAGATATACGGCTGAAATTGCGCATGCGCAGAAAAAGATAGCTAACAGGGCGAGCACGCAGGACGACCTTACATAAACATATCACTAGAATGATTGACAATTAGGAGAACCACTTATTTAGATGATCCACCAATAAATAAAAGAGCGTCCTCTATATATTTTACATTCTATTATACATTGCAGTGTTAGTTAAAATTATACGGTGCCTATATTCGCCCATCTTTAAAATGTTCTGGATGTGCCCCTGCTTTAAGGTTGATTTAAAAAAAATGTAAGCCCAATCTCCCTGCAGCATCACAGTTCTATTGGAAATGGCTTTAAAAATAATAACAGCCTAAGTTTAGTTTGAGTATTTCGGTTACAAATTTGAGCGCTCGGTTTGAATTAAAACAGCTGTGGTGGGATTTCTCCCCAGCAGCTCTTATTCTCCTGTGTCTCTTGTATTCTGTGCCTCAGGAGAAGGGGGGGGAAAAATCCCTGCCAGGGCAAGTCTCAGCGGTGACTGCCCCGCCCATCACTAGTGCGCTGGTTTTACACCTGCCTCACCAGCCCTGCCACTTTGAGCTCATTCAGGAGCTGCTTCACCTGCTCTGCTCTGCAGCCTTCATCAGGACCCGGCACTGCGGACAGGTGTCCGATATGAGCGCAGACAGCCACTGACTGCAGCCCACCTCCATCCGATCAGCGCGACAGAGATCTGGGAGAGTTTGCGCGCACCGCTGGGACCTGCGCAAAGGACGTAAACATGCAGTGAGCGCTCCCACCGGACCTGCTGAACTTTACCCGCTGACGCGATGGCAGCAGCCGCTACTCTAGGGGAAGTTGGAGGCGTCCTCCACGGCATCGACGGCGTCGTTCACGTCGGCTCCCATTTCTTCCTCACGCCTCCCGGGGACGGTCCGATCCTGCTGGGGGAGCACCTGGCCCCCGGGGACAGGCGGTACCTGCCCACCGCGCAGGATCTGAAACACTTAAAGGGCATTTTGAGGAGGAGGCAGCTGTACTGCAGGACTGGCTTTCATCTGGAAATACTTCCGGATGGCACGGTGCAGGGGACGAGAAAGGACCACAGTCGTTTTGGTAATTATTACATTCAAAGCTTCCATTTCACAAGAAATGTCCAATCAGGACACCAGACTCATTCCAATCAGTTAATAATCCAATCATGAAGACAGATTCAAATTTAGTTAAATATATCTGTGTCTAAAATTCTTTTTAAATCCCAGGTTAAACAATGTTTGAGTTTCTTTGATCATGCACAGAACAACTGTCTTATTCTTCTGCAGGTATTTTGGAATTCATAAGCCTTGCTGTTGGCCTGATAAGCATAAAAGGAGTGGGCAGTGGGCTTTACCTGGGGATGAACGACAAAGGGGAGCTCTATGGATCTGTAAGTACCACTTCTGCTTTGGAGAAGGCTGACTAAAGTCTCTGCATGAAAAAAAATATCATGTGCACAGGGATAAAATCAGGATGACTCAACTTATATCCTGAATTTTGAAGCTGGAATTCTTCCTTCTGATGTGGAGAAGTTAGCTGGTATTACATAGCAATGTTTTTCTGTATATACCGAGGTATTTATTTTTATTTCAGCCTTGGTTTTCCATGTTAGAGTTTAACACATGCTGCACTTTGAGGCACGTAGAGATCTTTGATATTTGAGACAGTTGAGGAATCCAATTACGGTAAAGTATATTATGAAGTGTTTTCTGCAGAATCTATTGTGATATTTAATTATTTGGCACTGCTTCTATGTGATTCAATGGGAGGAGACTGTAACTTCAACATAGCACAACATTTCTGTTAAAAAAAAACAACTTTTATTTGCTTTATTTAGAGTTTCTGCTTTAAATTAAATAACCTTAACAGAATTTGTTGTTGTATTTTAATTCATTCATTCATATCCACCTCTATCGTCAAGACCACTTCACATTATGACATGATGTAAATGGTGTCCTCTTTCAGACTTTTATCATCTAAGACCCCTTTTATCTGTTTTCTAGGAAAAGCTCACACCTGAATGTGTCTTCAGGGAGCAGTTTGAGGAAAACTGGTACAACACCTACTCATCAAACCTCTATAAACACGGAGACAAAGGGACACGATACTTTGTGGCATTAAACAAAGATGGGACTCCAAGGGACGGGACTAAATCCAGAAGGCACCAGAAATTCACACACTTCTTGCCCAGGCCTGTGGACCCAGAGCGAGTGCCAGAACTGTATAAGGATATCCTGGGACACAGCTGAGACGCAAAGTCCCAGATCAGGAGTAGCTGCTTTACAGCCCTGTTAGGCAGGGAGCCGATCGACAAAAAGAGGCTGAAACGATGCCGAGCGCTGGCTGGAGGACCTCTACCAGCGGGGGTAAAGGCACTGGGGGCCTCATGTAGGAATGTACAGTGGCCATCTCTCAGCAGCCAAGAAGACCGGCTAGAATGCCTCGGCATGAGGGGCTCGTTTGTTCCAGAGGCCGGACGATCCCAGAAAAGTACCTGCAGAGAACAGGTAACATCTGGGGAGACGAGGCTGAGAGGTCACGCAGCGTCTCCGCAGTCTGCGGCCATTCCAGGAGGTTTCTCCGGGGCGCTGTCTGAGCGAGAACTACTGTCTGTTGAGAAGGACTTTGAAGGAATTACATTTTATTTCAAACCTGTTGGAGACATTTGCAGAAGTGTAAAAGTCTATTTATTCATTTTTAGATACACATATTTATCTTATATATTTATTTATTGGAGAATATATTTTTACAAGTAGAATCTAGGAAAGCCCACTTGGAACAATGTCAACTATATAAAGTGAGAAACTGTATTTTTATCATCTTTATCCTAAAACAAATAACCATCAGTACTACTCTATTATTAAATCCAAATTATAAAACCTTTTAAAAGCTATCCAAATTTGAAATGTTTTCTATCCTAATTGTTTATTGTATATCTTTTTGGATTAGTATTTAATGGCCACTCTATTGTAAGATGTGATCACCTTCAGTAAAAACTATATTACTACCATAATTACCATGAAATTTTTCATCTAATGATTCAAACTAATTGTGAAATTAGGGCAAACTTCAAAGGATAATTTTTCCTCCCACTTTAAAAAGCAATTTGGCTTTATTTCAGGTGTCATAAAAAATATAAAATAGGCACCTGAAGTAAGAGTGTTGATTAAGAATTTTTTTTTCTATTTTCCTCAAAGTTTTAAAAATATGGTGTCATTTTGGGCTCCAATCTAACTGTTTTTGGATTTCGCCATTTTAAAATATTTTCAAGAAGCCAACATTGTAATTTTTATTAGAAAGGAACTATTTTCAGCCAGCTGACCACCAGTGCCCAGAAACAGTTGGGGGAGGGTACTTAACATTCTGTTATCCCTTTCCTGCATTTCATTAAAGACTTTAAACTGTATGAGTGGTTTGATGGAATATATTCGCTTTTATTTTCAAAGCTCTGACGTAGCTTGGTACCAACAATGTTTAACATACACTATAGAATCTGTGTAAACTCCAGTTGCATGCCACACTTTTAAGATTTATATTCTTTCTGTAGATTATGTGCGGCTCCTCCAGAGTCACTACAGGCAACTACAGGCTGATTCCCTCATATAAGCTCCTATGCTGTTAGTTGAAAGATTAAAAATCAATTTTGAAACTGAATGAGGCTCAGATATTATCTTATAACCCAATCCTGCTCTATCAGGTGTCTAGCAACTGAGAGCTTTACAAAACAGCTAAATATGCACATTATAGCAACAATGTCTGAAGGTAAAATGCTTCGTATCGTAGGGGACTGATTTTCAGAATCGATGCATTGGCTTTGATTTGTAAAAAAAAATAATAAAGCAATTTATATGCATTAAACAAGTGGAGCAGTATGGCACTTGCCATACCGCTACACTTGTGAAAGTAAAATCTGTTGGGCTCCTTTTGGCATCAAGACAATTATTCTTATTGCCACCTTGCAGAACAGGACACTGTAAAAAAAAATAAATAAATAAATAAAAAAATAAGAATAAAGATCATGTATCCCTTTGTAGGCTGCAGGGATATGGCTAAAGGTAGATTGCTGGTCTGGATGTTCTCCCAGTGGATGTATGGGTTCTTACTGGATCCTCTGATTTTCCTTCCATTGTCCAAAAACTTACCAGTTATGCTGGACTGGAGACCTGACCATGGGTGTTCCCCACTTCAGCTCCAATAACACCCTGGACAGGTGTGTCCATCTCAGGGGAACACGGACAGACACACGCACTCTGGGCAGTTTAGAAACGCTAATTAACCTAACGGTGATGTTTCTGGACTGTAGGAGGAAGCTAGAGAACCCATGCATTTACTGGGGGGGACATGCAAGAAGACCCTAATCCAGGAGTGGAAACCTGGACCTGATGGCTGCAAGGCATCAATTCTACAAACTGCATCCCTGGTTCTAGAAATTATTGGAAACTTGAAGTCAGAAAACCATAAAATAACTTGACCGATGAGAAAATCAGGGTTAGAATGAACTTTTGTTCCTTCCTCCTCAGAAACCAATGCTGTTGTCAAAATACCAAACCTTTAACTTTTAACAGACTTTTTTTTTAAAGAGCTCTGTTTTAGTGGTTGACTTTGCCTTTCAGAGTTTAAACATATAAACCGGCTAACGAGAGCAGTGTTGTCTTTCTTTATGGATGCCGTTATGCTGGCAGACTCGGTGCATGTGTATAAAAAACTTCAAAGCGGGACGCTGTGAACGAAGAACCCACGCAACAGCCCGATCAGAGCCAAATAAAATCTGACCTTTAGCTGAGGCCCTGCAACTTAAGCAGATGAATAAAAGTGGAGGTCAGAGCGATAAGGATTAAAGAGACGGTTAGAGAGCCATTGTTGACACATCGTATTAAGCAGTTGAAGTTGGGGCAGATGAGACCTGGCTAAGTAGGCCATGTTTGCCTTTTCATGTCAGAGTTGTCATTTATCTCATGCAGAAGCTACATTCTCCTCCTTGCCCGTGCATAGTTTCCTTTACACCTGGAAGCAGACCCATGTTGAAGCATGAAAGCTCTGTGTGTGATCTGTGAGCTTGTGAGTCAGTGGGGTGTCTCCATATGGGCTGGCAGCTCTGCTACCAACTCTCTCCTGCCTACAGCTTGACACTGTGGGACTTTCCCATCTGCACACCTTGAGCTCTGACTGCTGCCGTCGATTAATCGCAGCACCCAGGAGTGCATAATAACCCGGACATCCCCCGTCCATCATCTAAACACACCTTATCTTTAAAACAAAAAGCCTTCCAGTGTTTTTTTAGACAGTTGTTTTTAACTTAGCAGTTTTTGTTGTGGCTTTTCAAGCTGATGAAATCTCCATTAATCACTGCCTCGTGTTTCTCTCGGTTTCACCCCCTGCATGTTGTTTCCTTTGACATTTTCTGGGGGATCTCTGTAAACACACTGCAAATCTGATACCTGATGCCCAGTGCTTTTTGGCACCTGTTTAAATGGTGTTTTTACAGTCTGCAGATGCTTTTTTTCTCCCTCCATTACTCCTCCTCCTGCAGGTGGTCCCTGGCTTCTTGCAGAAAACATTTAAAGGAATAGTACACCCAAAACATGATTAGCCTTCATTTTCTACTCACCCCCATGCTGAACAACACTCTGGAGTACTTTTTTGATATCTCAAATGCATCTGGAGATCTGGGAGGCTTCTTGCTGTCTGCTGACATTCAAATAATGGAGGTCTATGGTGACCGACACAGAAAGGTCCATAAAAGTCCACAAAAACGTGTCAATATTCCTCCATACTGCTCGTCCAATGTATTCCAAGTGTCCTGAGTGGGTAGCATCCAGAATTTACTCGAAACGAAGTCATTTAGAATTTTTTTAGAGCATAAACATTAGTGTATAGGATTTCCTGAAAGCGCGCACACGCGCGCTCACGACGCTACGGAAGCCGGCAGATCAAACCAGATCGCAACCAAAATCAATCCAAATTCGATCAAACCAGATTAAAGTGCGCATTCAGCTCTGCTCTTCCAATAATGCAAGCGTAGAAGAAGAAATGTGCTGTTTACCTGTGCAAAGAAAGAAACAACGAAAGAAAAATATCTGAGGACTTCAGTGTTGAGGAAGAGCATGAGTTCTTTGCCGAGCTGAATGCGCTGGTTTGGTCTGCCGGCTTCCGTAGCGTCGTGAGCGCGCGTGTGCGCGCTTTCAGGAAATCCTATACACTACTGTTTATGCTCTAAAAACATTCTAAATGACTTCGTTTCGAGTAAATTCTGGATGCTACCCACTCAGGACACTTGGAATACATTGGACGAGCAGTATGGAGGAATATTGACACGTTTTTTGTGGACTTTTATGGACCTTTCTGTCTCGGTCACCATAGACCTCCATTATTTGAATGTCAGCAGACAGCAATAAGCCTCCCAGATCTCCAGATGCATTTAAGATATCAAAAAAGTACTCCAGAGTGTTGTTCAGCATGGGGGTGAGTAGAAAATGAAGGCTAATCATGTTTTGGGTGTACTATTCCTTTAAGCCCCCCACCCCCCCTGATCTCCACACTTAACGGACACTCCCCGACTTTCATCGCCTCCTCAGCCCGTCGAGGAAACCGAACCAAGTGTGTGTGCAAATATCAAACACAGTTGCGGGTGTGGGTTCAGGGGGCAGGTGTGGAAGTCAGTGATCTTCCTTGTCTATCTTCACAGGCCAGGCAGCCAGCGCAGGTGTTCCCTCAACACCCAAGCTCCCGCACTCTGATGTCGACCCTGCTGTTTGCCAGCTGGAGATGGGACTTTAGCAGCAACAGAGGGGGAGGAGGAGGAGGCTGGAAATATTGCTGGCTTTGTTGTCTGCCCCCAATTATCACAGAGCATAATTTCTATATTTAGCCGGCCTTGCTGGGGAAAGACAGGGGAGGTGCCGCGAAGCTCACCTGTTGCTTTAAAGCTGGGGCCACTTCTAAGCGTGTGTTTTGCGCAGGGACGGCGTCTGCACCTTTGTGTCATCGCAATCCTGCAACTATTGATTTCAGGCTCTTTCTTGTTTGTTTATTACTTAGTAAATTGCTGTGCGCACAAATTATTAGCTGCATGTATGTTTATGGGGATTACAGCAGAAGTGTAAGTATAGAGTTATCCACTGGATACTTCTGGGCTTTTATGAGTGCCCGGAAAGAAAAACTCTGGAAAATGTCTGCAGCAGTGACGTGCGGTCAGGGGAGGCAGGTGAGGCAGTGCCTCACCAGCCATCATGGAAAGAAAGAAAATATATAATCATAAAGTAATTTAAATTGTTATATTCATCCGGTGGTTTGTACTAAAAAATATTCATTTTTCATGTAGCTTCACCAATTTCGATTTTTATTTGTTCAAAATCGCTGAATTTTCTTATTTTCCCATTCAAATGCTTGGAAGCGATGCCGGTGAGGCAGCAGCGAGCTCTGCCTCACCTTGGATTGCGCAACCCCTGGCTCTGCGCTGGCTGCAAAGCGGAGAGAGCATGTTGCTGTACGGCGTCAATAAAATGGTTTAAACAAATGTAATATGTGAACTTATTTCTAATAATTTGGCTTATGTATATAATGTACAGAGCTTTTTGTCACCAACTGTGTTTGTGTAACGTGTTTCGTGTAATGAGCGATTATAAACGGCAGAGAACAAGTTCGAGGTGAGGCAGGCAGTTCTCTTGCCTCATGGCAGGGGGTGCTCAAGAGACTGAAAACATAAGGCAGGAACAGGACGGATCAAGGAAGGCTTTCTTCCCTGGCAGTGATCTCCATTGAGACAGAGAGACTTTTAAAACTGAAGGAAGATAAGGAGGACTTCTATTCATTTATAAGTAAAGGTAAGACAGTAATAACATTTATTTTGTTTTGTTTTTTAAGGAAATGTGTGTTTTGTGAGCTACAGTTTGTATGTGTAAGGATGCAGAAGTGAAACATAACCTGTAAACTGCTGTCAATCTATGCATCTATTTGCAAATCTGATTCTGATGACGTCAGTGCCTCACCAGCTATGAACCTCACCGCACGTCACTGGTCTGCAGCCATGTGTTTCAAAAACCAGGAGTATCGCTTTTAAAATTTTGTTGTCGTGAGAAATAAATTTTTTTTGCACCTTCATGCTTTGGGTTTGTTCCAATTCAAAGCTCTGAGGATTTTTGCAGTCTGCCGTTTGGAGGTGGCAATTAGGCCATGCCTGATTCACTGACAGTGCGTACTGCGAGCTGTCAGCTGCAGTGGGAAAAAAATGCTCCTGTTTGCATCTCCATGGAGACTTAGCAGAACAGCAAGATGTTTAGGTGTTGTGTTGAACCAAAAAAGAAAGAAGTTGTGTCTGCACACACCGTTCTGACTGACTGACAGCTTTTGAACACAAGAGAACCTGAAGGAGGCCAGATACTGATAGATAACTCCCCATGTGCACGA